ATGAAACCGGTGTTAAATGTGGCAGAACTACCTTATGGAAGTGTATTCGACACATGGGTTTTAGATTTAAAAAAATTGACAAAAGGCAAGTTTTAATGGAATCTTTTAGAATTCGGAAATGGCGACTGGAATATCTAGAAAAAATTAAGATTTACAGAGAACAACAAAGGTCAATTATTTAATTGGATGAAACCTGGTTCCACACTATGATACCCCGGAAAAGAGGTAAAGGAATAACTATTTTGCATGCTGGCTCTAAAGATGGTTGGACTCCAAATGGACTTTCTTTGTATGCGAAAAATATTAAAGATTCTTCTCTGGATTACCACGAAGCTGATTTATTTGGCAGTTGGTTTAAAAACAAACCAGTTCCAAACATTCCTCCTAATAGCGTAATTGTAATGGACAATGCAAGTTATCACAGTAGACAGTTCACTAAAACCCCTTCCACAAAGTTGAGCAAATTCTGTTAAACATATAGAAAAAGCAGAACAATCGTATATCCATATTGCAAATAATATAGAACGAATAATAATTAGAACAGGCGATAATAGCGATAGTGATACTGATATATTATCTGAATAATTTAAAGTAATTTAAGTAGGTAATAAAAATAATTTGTAATTTTATTTTAGATTTAAACATAAATACATACATAAATAAATAAACATTGTTTAGTATCTTCCCTAACAAAACCCCAAATAATTAGATTCTAAGCAAAGTACGGACCTGTTCGGCCATATTTCATTCTTACAGCTGGCCCGGGTCTTTCCTTAATTCTTATCAGTTAGTCACTTTCTTATATCTATAAGCAGACTGTACCATGTATTAGTATGGCAACCTTTAAAAGAGCAACAACTTTACCCTTATCATATGCAACTAGTCCAAGCTCTTTTGCCAAGGGATTTTCCGCTAAGAGTGCCTTTCTGTAGATTTACACAAAATAAGTTTGTGCGAAATCCAAAATCACAAGTGTTGTTTACCGACAATTCATGTTTTCCCCGTAACTCAATACTAAACTTCCGTAACATTTTTAAGAGCAATTTTCGGTAAATGTTTGGATTGGAGTTATAGGGATTTCCTTATCGGGCCTCACTTTCTGCCTGGCAGACTTACTGGTGAGGATGTCCCGCTAGAGCAAAGACGTTCTATGTGGTTTATGCATGACGGAGCTCCATCGGACTTCAGTTTACTAGCACGTCGGTATTTAACTGAAAATTATACTGATCGCTGGATTGGGCGTGCTGGACCACATTTTTTACCACCCAAATCACCTGATTTAAATCCAAAGTGACGAAGATGTAAGAAATCGGATAGAAGACTCTTGTACAGTTAGTAGGAACTCACCTGGTGTTTTAGAAACGGTTTGCCAGTCCCTAACAACTTATTTTTTTCTCCAAATTTGCTCCAAATTGAATGGGGATTTTAAAAATCATTTTTGTTTTCAAAAAAGCAGTGGCGTGCCATTTTTTTCTTTAAAATATTCCATCCAAACCCCGTACGGGCGCCAATGGTAAAAATAAAAATAAAGCTTTTGTGTCAAAAACTGCCTCTCAATAATTAAAAAATGTACACCAAATTTGATAAAAATATCGAATGTGATATGAAAGTTATAAAAGGAAAAACTAATTTTTTAGAAAATTTTAGCATCTTGGAAAATATGCATTTTTGGACCTATGTTTATATGAAATTTTTATCTTAAAATCACGCAAGGAATCGTTTCTTGGCAGCGTACTTTTTAACACCCTGTATATTGAAATATACTAAAATAAGATAAATAAATAAATATATATATAATAAATATAATTTAAATATATAAAATAAATATAAAAAATATATAAAAAATAAATGATATAAATATAATAAATAAATAAGATACTACATATTTAGTTCCGATGGTTCGCTATTGAACATTCCGCTTACAAATAAACCTTTAGGCTACATCACAAATGGCATGGATAATGGTCGAGCATACTCAGCGGTCTGGGACCAAAACAAAACTAGGATGGCATCGATCCAAACTTGCCGGTAAAGCCAAATAACGCGCATTCGAATCGGCGTGTATTAATAAATGATCTGAAAAGTGAATATCACAGAGGTCGGAGAGAAAAATGAACGGCACGCTAAGATTGTGAGTCGAAAATTTGAAAATTTTGTACGTGGTTGTGGAAAATATGCCTTTTTGCCAATTTTGTGCGAGACGGAACTATTATGGTTTTGTAAACACCCTGTACGTGGAAAGAGTTACTACGCTACATGGAACTAGTAGTCATGGTACTGCGTTTGAAAATTAACGTGACTTTGAAGCTTTATGAAAAATTATTTATTTATCAAAATTAAGCACTCCATGAGTTTTTCCAGCGATTTTTTGTTTATCTTCTCAGTCGAACAGTAAAATGGACAAAATGTTGGACGAAAGCAACGATGAGTGAGCAGGTGCATTATCGTGATGGAAAATGCATGTACTGAATGACACGTAGCCCGCCCAAATACAAAAGTCGCCCTACTTTTTGAACACACCTCGTATTTTACAAAAGGTTGTTGTGGGTAGTTTTAGTAAAATATTCAGACCTGTATAATAATAATATGCAAAACACTGACCTCGGATTGAACCAATACTTTCAATTCGTCAATTTCGTTCGACCAAAAGCAATTCCATATCGCATTATTTACCGTCACAAAGGAAATATTTTCTACGTACTTATTACGATATCGAAATGAATTTTCACTGCGACCAAACATTTAACACATATCCTCATTTCACTCATTTGTTTACAATATATTTTATTTTGATTTTGATTGATTCGTTGATATCAAAATATCTTAACAAATATTATAAGCAGTCAAACACCAAAGATGTTATACAGTATGTCCACGAATATAGTAGACGACAGAGTTAAAAGAGAGAGATACGAAAAAAAATCATCATTTATTAACAAACGTTTTTGCTTGTGATCTGATTTGGTTGGAAAAAAGAAGAAATTTCAGTAAATGTCTTTTTTTTATTTCAACGTGCAACATGCAAAATGTTTTTCGTTGAATGCATTCCATGACATTTTTGATTATAAATATTCTCAGCTCCGAAGTCAACAATCATGAAAGGTACAATCAAATGAAAGAGGTATAACGATAAAACAAAAATAAACAGTTAGAAACAAAACTATAGCGGCTATGAGTTTAATTTTAATGTTGAATTTATTTCAATAAACATTAACTTTCATTTCAGTATTTTAAAACGAGGCCTGATTTCTGTGCAGAAATGCAGAAAATTGAGTATGTATGTTCGTTTTGACTCACCCTTAGAGTTTTAGGAAAATGAAAAGTTTAAATTACGCCTATAAAAAATTTATGGAAGTAGGCCATGATTAATCTATTAAAAACAATATCCACATAAACAATTATTGACACACAAGGAATTCAATACTTTAAAATTCAATTATTTAAATGCGTTTATCAGTTTATCGAATGTTTTTGTGGCATTTAAAAAAAACTTAGACTCCTTCGTAGAGTTTCGAAAGTGAAGTCAATGTTTTTTATATTTTATTTTGCATATATCGCCATAAAAAGAAATCCAAAACTGAAAGATCGTGGAAGCCATCCTACTACAAGTCCGTTAGCACGTAGCCATTTTCGAGGGAAGTTGCCATCTAAAAATGGCCATAAAAGTTCAGAGTTATGACCTGACGCACCATCTTGCCCATGGTATATATTATTATATATCTTCGAGTATTTCTGGAATGACTTCTTCAAGAATGTCTAGGTACCTACGTGTTCCTTCTTTAATTCGTTAGGCTATTCGTTGTCCCAAAATAAAACACATCATTCCGAAGATTCTTGAGCATTTTCATTGCATTGTATAAGACATATCAACATATATTTTTCAGAATTATCATACACTGCCACTATTATAGAAAATTAATTAAAATGAAATAAACTGATAGTCTCGTAAGTTTTTGACATTTGATTTTTTATTTTTAATAGATGAGTCATAGCCAACTATCTTTACTTTCACCATATTTTTTCATCTTGTTTTTTAGTTGATTTACTGTGCTCTGCCGCTACAAATAAAGTAAAAAGTGAAAAAAAAAAGAATTTTGGGATTAATTTTAAATAACTATGCTAATGTATACTAAAAAATGGTTAGAGTAAATAAAAAAAAAACACTAGATTCTACGGAAAAAATCCCATAAGAACTCTTAACTTAAATGACAACGGAGATACGAGTGTAGTCCCAAAATTGATAGTTTCGGATTTCTCCCTGTATCTCGAAAACTAAGAGGGCCATGATAATTTTGTTGACGGCATATTTAATTTCACAAGTAGCACAGTGTTGCGTAAACGGCGACTCTCTATCTTTAAAAACATCTCCTGTACCGGGTGGCCCATGTCTCAGGAGCCGTTAGTCCTACAACTCAGAAAAAAAAATTAAATTGATCAAGAGAAAAAGCTGTAAACTATTTTCAAGCTTTCCCTTATAAGGTTTGTAAATTAAGTGCGTTCTTCGAATCGCGTTTGTCATTTCATGACCATTTCGCTCGACATCGGGTCGATGGCCTCGCGACCTTTCGGGAGAAAAAATTACTCGCCGTTGTATTTTTTTAGGCGGGAACGATTCCGGAAAGTACGAATGTAAGACTGACAATGCAGTTACGAGAAGAACGAAAGTTTCCAGTATTTCGCTCAACATTCCGGCCGCCGGTCTGGGTAGTAGGCCCGCGTCCATCGTCACCACGTCGGACGAAGGTGCTCGACGGCCTGTTCCCGCTTTCCTTTAGCTTAGCCAAAGCGATTCACTTTCGTAATTCTTAATCTAACGCGGTAACATGCTCGCAGGAGTGAATTGAAAACGTCCACTAACCTACTATGCCCGTGCGTTGTGGTTGTGCAAGACGAATTCTCAAGATAAGAACGCCATTAGCTCGCCTGTCTTTGTGGCTTACTGTCCTCGCGATATAATCCACTTTGTTGGTTATTTTCAACAATTTGGTTCCGGTTTTCAGGCGGCTTCAACGAACCGTCGCCCAAAATAGAAGCGAAACTGAAGCCTCACGAAGAATCGTTGTACGATTTCCCGGTGAACGAAGACATTCCTCTCGAGTATAACGACAATTCGCCGGAAGACCTCAACGAATACTCGGAGGGTGACGTCATCGCGGAGAACCCAGTCAGACTGACGCAGGCGGAGATCGAAGCCTTGTACGCAGTTCCCAACAAGCACCAGAAGGTCCTTTCAGAAGACAGGGAGTACTCGGTACGTTGCTATTATTGTGGTTTTTGATTTTGCCGGTAGAGGGAGCATCAGTTATATTTGATCCAGAAATATAGTGTTTATTACTCCAACACCGCAGCTCCTTACCCGTGACCATTCCAGGACCGTCCTAGGAATTTATCTACCTACACTAACAAGCGGGATAGGAGTATGTTTTCAACCTTTTCCGCCGAGTAAATTTTGAAACATGCACAAACTAAAAACCGATATATCAAAGCGTTTCTGAGCTACAGAGTGATTCTTAAAAATGTGCGTTTCTAAATAGCCTCTATAACTTTTTTATTTATTAAAAACATTTTTTAAAAAATTTTTAAGGGCAAATCTACCTGTTTCACCTATTTTATCTTAAAGCCTTTTAGTTCACGAGATAGAACACAAAGTTAAATTTTTTTTTAATGGAATACCCCAATTATTAAAAAAAAAAAAAAGTTTTATAATAAAATTTCCTGTCGAATAATTTGACATACACCTATTTTTATTCAGTAGTTAGTAGTTACATGAAATTTTTAATAATTACCATAGTAGGCTGTGTATAACTCTGACCTATGCAGTTTTACGGTATCTAGGTAGCTAGTGTCAAACGTAGACGGCGTTAAATCTATAATTCCAGAGATATCCGGAAAGAAGGCAACCTAGCTCAAAAATATTTTTAAAGTTAAAACGTCATCAATTAATTCACGGATCCTTTACAAAACCGCAGCCTAGGACGTATGGAAGCCTAGCCAAAGATAGAGAGTTGGAAGAACTAACAGTTCCTCCTGAATTGGCTAAATATCATCAAAAAATTGGACATTCAGCCTATGTTAACCCTTGCAAAATTTAAATCGCTATCTCAAGCCATTAAATAGTGTTCCCGCTTTCTTGTGTCACTCGGTGTACCCCGTTCAATAGAAGAACAAACAGATTTTTTCAACTAGCACTAGACGCCTTAATTTCATTATTAATCCATTACATACAACCTTTTTACCGGAGGATGTAAACTAAAATGGTACAAAAAAAACATCGTAAAAGCTATTGAAAGCGCTATCCAGGTCCGTCACGGAATAAACATGAAACCAATCACTCAAACGAAGAGATTGCTCAAAATTCTGTATTTGGAGTCATTATATTCAATGTATAATCAGTTCAGAAGAAGCCAACTGAAGATACGTAAATAAATATTTATAAACAACAAGATAACATTTTGGGAAAAAGCACTACTAAAGATTAGTATACTGTTCTATTTAACCTGATAAAAGAGAGAAAAAATATACGTGAATTTTTCCATTTTATAACTTGTAACTTACAAAAAAAAAAGATTGTTATTCCCTGCGAAAATCAAACACAAAGTAAAAATAATTAACTGAATTGAGACAAAATCAGAGACTCACACAGCATTGTTCTATGTTTTCTGCCTAAAAATTCACGATTTTGATATATAAATTTTATCATTAAATATGCCTTTTGTAAACATTTAGAAATATGCTCTGATAATCTCAAATCCTTGTCCATTATCATCCCCAAGTTTCTCACCGGATCACGAAACTTTTTTTTTTCTTATTAATCTCCACAGCATGGCAACCCAATAAAAATCTCTCCCTGTCACCCTTGAGGCAAATATCGTTACTGCGGATTTGCATTGTAAACAATGCTTAGTGTAAATTTGTGTAAATTTGTGTATCGTCTACATAATAATGATGACAACTTGACAACAGAAATTTGTTGTTTGTTGTTGGTATGAAGCTAAAAGATTAATTGCGTTTTCTGGCAAGCATTGAAATAAAAATTTGATGATTAAGGGTATCAAACGCTTTCGAATAGTCTAAAAGGGTTAGTAGTGTCAGCTTGCCTTCATCTGTAGCCCTAAATATAACATCGGTAATGTTAGAGCCAGTAAATATTTATAGGGAATAATTTTGTGGTATTTTTTAGAATAAGGGGAATTTCAGTTTAAGGTGCACGTGTTTTTTCTCAATCCTATTCAAAAGTCCAAGTTTATGATTTTACTGATGGTAAGGATCGGACTGGCGAACACCTGTCTATTAATTTATGACCGATGACAATAGTTCCTCTTAGGGCATGGTTTAAGTGGTTTTTGATGTAGGTATTGAGTTAAATAGATGTGTTTTACTTTTTAGAAAACCGAATTTTAGGACTTTAGTATCGTTAAGGATTCGGCAGGCATCGAAAGCGAAGCGAAAACGAATTCGAGGCTTTGCTTGTTGAATTTATAACTTATCACTAATTATCTATCTTTGTTATTGTACATATTTTTTTACGTTACTTGTTTTCTTTACTCATTTGGTGAGTTTACTGAATTAAAGGGTTGTGTGTAAAAATTCTGCCTTTTATTTCAACGAATCGACGTGTTGCTGTAACGGGTAGTTTTGGTGACGCGACAGGTAATGTGTAGTAGAGCTGTAATACATGTCCAGCTTTATATCCTGATTGGGTAACGGGGATAATCTTGTTATTATCTAAGTGAAACTATTAATGAAATAAATTTTAAGGTGGCGGATCGGAAGGGCTTAGGTGTCAGCAAGTCGGTGTCACCGACGGATTCGGAGGCGGACTACGCGGTCCCCTACAGGTCGGTCAGTGCGGCGCATCAAAAGTCCGTAGCGTCCACCGATTCGGACGCGTCCCAAGTGACCGTGGTGCCCCAAAAGTCGCAGGATTCGGACGGATCTGCCGCCATTACGAATTCGGTGCTGTCGGAACTGGAATCGCGGGAAAGTTTCACACTAGAGGGCGCTCGCCGATCGGAACCCTTCATCATCAACCTCGAGGTGTTGCAGACTGAGAAAATCGCCCGGACTCCGGAAAATCAGAGGTCCGAGGCGAACATTCTCGATGCCAACGACGTTGAGTACGCTGACGTGAGCGACAACGACCAAGAGCGAAGTGCGACCGATAAGAACGCGGCGGAAGCGGACGCCATGACACCCGACGAAGCGGAGAATTTACTGAGCAGCAAGTACGTATTCAAAAGACACGGTTTAGTGCGGGGGTCCGTCCAGGTACAGTTCGTGAGACCGTACAAAGCAGACACGTTCGTTAACCAAATAGACAAAATGATAATGATAATGTTTATTTCCATTAACTTTTAACAAAACTATTGGATAATGTTAACAAGAAAAAAATACATTACAACTCTAAAATACAAACTTTAAAAACAGATATGTACAAACGCACAAAATATATCACACCGAGAGATCCGCATTACTACAATCAAAGCATTCATCGTTAGAATAAACAACATTCTTATTCTAATTGAGCTTTAATTTTTGCTTAAATAAATGGACAGGCAATATCTGTCTGACGGACAAAGGCAACTTATTATATAGTTTTATTGGTTGGCTGTTAGCTACTTTGGCTAGCTTATGACTTGGCACTCGCAAATTAAGATTACCTCTAAAATTGTAATCTCCATCAATTCTGGTCATGCAATAATTAGACAGATTACTCTTTATGTAAATTATGCTATTTAATACATAGAGAGAGGGAAACGTGAAAATTTTGGGAACAGGGTTCAACAAGAGTAACCACAGGACTTCCCCAACAGCTCTGGCGGAGTTTCCCCAGCATATAATAGCGTATGATAAGCTAGATTGAACATATCCGAAATAATACAATAGTAAAAGCTAAAGATCCACACTCGACGGCAGTCGCCAAATAACAAAACTATGCATAGCCATTTTGTTTAATACATAGTCAATTTGGCCTGTCCAGGACCAATTATTATCTATGAACAAACCCAAATACTTGACAATGTTAGTCCGAATTCTAACCAATAAGCTCTTGTTCCAATCCCTAAGCGACAACAATATCATCTTAGTATTTGTCCTGTTCAAACAAATACCGTTACTCTCACAATATCGGGTCATACCACTTATTGCCCTTGTGGCCAAGAACGTGAGATGTTCCAGACTGCTAGATGACATTGCCACAGCAGTGTCATCTGCATATAAGGAAACATAATTGTCTGGGAAAGAATCAGATATATCATTAAAAAATATTATAAATAATAAAGGTCCCAGTGTGCTTCCCTGTGGGACACCGCTGGTGAGTTCTTTAGATAAGGATCTAATCACAGAAGTATCGCTTCTAAGTTTCGACTTTATATCTGGGGGTGCCACAAGGCTCCATATTGGCCCCACGTCGAGTTTCTTTAAATGCAAACGACACGACAACACTTAATTTGGGGAGGAATGTAAGTGACGCACTGTCTGCGAGTGTTGGCGATCGTTGATGCAGAAGTTGACAGTTCATTTAATTTCCACTTTTCTCTTTTAAAGTTTTTTTTTATAGAATTGTAGGAAAATTTGACTGCCAGTCACCTAAAATTGCTTTGTATGAAGACTTAATTAAGCGTACATAACTATACGAATTTTTGTGCGTAAGAACCCAGTTTTCTATTAATAATAACACAGGCCTACATTGATTTTGATGTTCGCTTATTTGTATATGTTGTATTTGTATATGTTATTTTTAGTCGACCGCGTAATTTTTTTTTATGAATTGATTTTTATGAAATTAAATGTGATTTGGCAACACTGGATGATATTAGATTTCTCTGCAAAGCAACAGAGTTTGCGCAAAAGCGTCGATACATTGTAACGTGCTTACGTAGAGTATTTTTAGTGTTCTAGAACATACAGATATGGAAAGAAGTCATTGTGTGAACAATCCAAATAATGTTTGTTAGTTTTGGTTAGTTGGACGCAGTAACTGGGAGTACTCTGGCAATCGTTAATGCATTTAATTTACACTTTTATTTTTTAGCTTTTTTTTTTTTTTAATAGAAATGAAGACGTAATATTAATATGATTTTTCTTATCATTTATTTTTAAATTTTTAAATTATTTTTTATCGAGGGTTTTTAATTAAGCGTACATAACTATACGAATTAGTACCCAGTTTTGTACATGTTTGGATGCCGTTTTTCCAAAAAACGCCACATTTTTACTCCATCGCTTTATTTTTTAAATGAATTGATTTTTATGAACGTAAATGTGATTTGGCAACACTGGATAATATTAGATTTCTCTGCAAAACAATAGGGTTGGCGCAGAAGCGTCAATACAGTGTTGTAACCTGCTTATGCGCAGTTTGGTTGTACTGGTCTATGGAAAGAAGTCATTGTGTGAACAATCCAAATAAATTTTGTTATATCTGTGGTAGTTATGTCGTAGCAAATCAAAGGCAAACTATAACTTCTTTTGTGAAAAATGTATACCACGCTTATTTTGGTTTAAAAATTGGCAACCGAGAACAAACAAATAAATAAACAACAACTGAAATGTGAGGTTATGATTGCATAGTTGATTTTTAGTTGTGTACTGTTTGCGGTAGTTTAGTTTTTTATAAACCCACTAATACGCAAAAAAGAAAGGAATATTAGTTGCGTATAACATTGAAAACATCTTGTGTGGCTCCCCAATTTGAAAGTAATGTCGCCAGCGCCATCTGTTTTTATAATTGATTATCTTATTTAGTGTACTGTGTAGCTCGCCTACGTAAACTGAAGTTAGGATGATCGTAACTGGTTATTCCACACATCAAACAAAACAAAAGAACCGCGGTCGAAACTCCCGGCATCTGACAGATCAAAATGTCCAACAAGTTATATGTTTTTGGTCGAAACACGCATTTTAAAGTCAAGTCAACTGTCATTGACTTCTCACTATTTCGGTTTTACATTAACTTGTGTGTATTTTTCTGAAAATTCCGCATCAGTGGTTTGCTTAATTTGTTAATTAAAAATAGCCGCTTATACGAGACAAACGAGAAAGTATAATTATTACGTTTATTTACGCCCGGTGCATTTCAACTACTTTTTTTAAATGCGCGGTTTTCTTCAGCTGCCAATCATATTCTGGTAGTTTTCCATTCGCAGAGCGAAATTAAAAACCAGACGATTTTAATGGAAAGTATGAATTTATTAAATATCCTTCGAGGTGAAGGATAATTTTTGTACAGTCTCATAAATGTACCTTACGGATTTTGTGCCCTGTTTTACCATTAAATCTCGAATAGTTGGAGATATTTCGTGCTGGTTTTTGACATTTTTTCATTTTGAGAACGAAACATATTATTTAAAAATGCGCGTTGGCCTTGTTTTACCGCCATATTGGATAGCCATATTAACCATGATTATAAAAAAAATAGGACATAGTTTTTAATCCAGAATAATAATGATTATTATTTTTTTCATAATGACTGTTTACCGTAAAGAATTCTGGAGAAAAGAATAAGGTGAGTTTTTACTTAAATAGGTGATAGCTGCGTAACCCTTTAACTGCACTAATTTGGGACGTACGTAGTTGTTAAGAAAAATAACATTCATAATTTCTATGTGGCGGCACATTTTTGTGTTGGGATTAAAGGTTGTGGTAACACTCGAAGAGTACAAACATTTCACTTTACTTACACAGCTTTATGGTGCTCTGTTTTGTTAACGTTGTAACGATGTATGTATATTATTTGTTGTAATGTTGATTTACGTTGATCAAAATGGTTCAATTTCAATTACGTCAAAAAAGAACTTTCAAAACAATTTGTGGTGACGTCTGTGCTCGTATAGGCGCCACCTAGCAACCGCACAGCCAAATATACCCGTAATATTAATCATTATTATTCGTCAAGAACTGACATTTGCTTGCTTTAGAATTTGGTAATTCTTAGAACCGTAAAACGAAGAAATCCTTTATGAATATCTACGAGACATGGCTCTAATCCGGCCCTATCTATATTTCCACACTCTCAAACCTTTAAAATTTTAATTTTTTTCAATTTTCACGAAAACAGTTAAATTGATTCCCTCCAACGAGTTTCAACTGAAAACCACGTTTTCAAAATGGCTGACACTTTGGTAAGTAACTATCAACAGGAGCACAACCAAGATCGCTAGCTTTTGGTAACTAGTGCTAGGGTAAGCTCGGAAACTTTTCAAGGGACCCTAGTATGTCAATTTGTGTCTATTGTTGCTATTTAGTTCTACGAGACAAAAGTAGTATTTGGTTCACCAAAATTTAGTAAAAAGTTAAACATAGCTGTTCTGCTCTCTTTCAGAGTATATTCCCAATTCAAGGTATACATTTGGCTCATTTCTAAAGTAAATATTAATTTCTTTATTTCATTCTCTATTAGAATTAATATCAATTAACTGGTATCTCAAAAAGTAGAGGCGATAGAAAAAAACTAGTGCCATTTTTGGAATCAGCACATTAGAAATATCAGTTGTTGCACTTCCAAAATTTTTTTTTTCAAGCTTACATGACTATATAACCGAGGCAAGCTTATTCTGTTCTGTTCTTAGTCTACATTGGAGTTGTAACATTACTCAGTTAGTGTCTGTAAACGTTTTCCTTTGCAGCCAGTCATACGATACTATGTATTTTATAAGTTCCACTTTATTTTGAAAGGAATAATGCTTATCGTAAATATACTTTAAAAAAAGCGTATCTAATTACACAAAAATAAATAAAACTGCTTTTAAAATAAGCACGAAAATTGTCATTTTTTATATTGTATTAAAATAAATTCAACTGGGATAGGAAAAAAAATAACAGCCTCTGTAACACATGGCAATTGACACTGATCGGCGAAAGTGTAGCCAAAACCTGTGACCTTATTACCACAACAGCGCCATCTCTTGCACACGAGGTCGTATTAATAAGAATGTTCGCGAATTGGGCTTTGAGCCAACTTAACCAACTTGACAGATGCACTACCGATACGAGCACTAACGTCACTAGCGTCGACATTTTCTAACCTCGTCGATTTCGTTATTTTTAATTTGCAATTGTTTCGGTTAAAACCAATTTCCCGGTCAGCTATGGCCTTTAGCAATGTTTATGAATTTAGAAAAATAGTGTAAGTGCCTATTTTGAACGCACCATTTGCAGAGCCGAACTATTATCGGACGAAGAGGCGCAGGAGGTGACGAGGCTGCTGCGCGATCCGAAAATCCACAAATGGCCGCCGAGCGCGACCAGTTCCTTACTCCAAGACTCTATTACGTCTTCAGTGCAAGATTCCTCTGGACCGGTGTCGTTGAACGATAGCCTGGGACCGCCGTCAATCCAAGAGGAGACCGTCACCGAACCTTTGAACGAACTAAACGATCTGATAACCCAGAAGCACATTGAACTGTTGGACAATAAGAAAGACGCGGAGCCCCTCTCCCAGTATTACGAGTCCACGTCTAGTTTGGACATGTCCACTCAGGACGAGGAACTAGTAAACCAGTCGAGGTTCGACGCTAGCGTCTCCGCCTCCGATTCCGGATTGATCGGTGAGTGTGTGCGCGATAGATCTTTAAAAAATTACATGCTTCTTTTTTACTTTAAAAGTTTACTATTACATTGATACAGTTTCCAATTACTTCAAATATCACGTTTCTTCAGCTTGTTCTCTATGTTCACCCGTTGCTTTTGTATGTAGAAACCATGTGAGCTTTTTGTGTTGGTTTTTTTCAATTAAATTTGTATGATTTCGTCATGTTTCTAATCGTGCCATTCCCAGTTCTATCTAATCCAGACTCGATCTTAGGAGATCCAAGGGTACAAGCAACTTGTACATTGTTCTATGTACCTTATCCCAAAGTATTGATTTTAGACAACTCTGTTTCCTTGTTGGTTGAATGTAATTCCCAAATCCTTACAAGGTCTTTATCATACTATTTATAAATTTTCTGGATTCCTCCTGCTACGAACTTGCTGACGTTTCGCGAATCATCCTGTTGGGCTTCTTCAGGGCTTAGCTGAAACGGACTCGCATTCTACTCTGTACCTGTTTGTATACAGTTTGAGGGGGGCGGAGCTCACAAGACAAGTGGTAAATCTGGTTTTGACGTTGGTATTTTTTAACTTCTGTTGTGGTGAAATGTATTTTGTGATGGAACGCTTAATATCTTTAATGTGGAAATTATTAGAGAGAAGAGAAGAGGTAAGGTGTTTTAATTCTGGATTCAGGAACTCGGGCTGAGATAGTTTTACAGCTCAGTAAACAAGAAAGTTGATAACTAACTAACTATGAGTTTTCCCTGTAAAGGGTTTTAATATAGAAGCCAAATATTTTGCTAGAGAATTTGTTGGAGGAGCAATAGTGACAATGGGTCGAATGGGTAATCCTGGTTTGTGAATCTTAGGGAATCCAAAAAAACGAGAAATTTGAGAGTTATTAGGGGTAACAAACTTTTTTAAGTATTTTTGCTGTTTCAAATCGATTTTTTTTAGCTGAGATGGTAGTTTGTTTAGGATAGACTCCATGGTTTCTTTTTTTGGAATTATACATAGGGCGAGAAGTGATTTTCAATAAATAAAATCCCGATTTTACTGCAACAAAGCGACAAGAACGAGAAACAAAAAATTCAAATTTTCCTGACATAAAATAGAGCTCTAAAAACATTAGCACCATTTTATCAACTCCGTGTTTGTAAACTGATGACGTACTTTCAACGTGATTCACTAGACGTCTCATAAGTCTCAAGGTAGGTGGCGCGCAAGTCTCATAAATTCAAATAAAAAATTTCGTTTTTTCTAATTGTGTATTCAATATCTCTATCAATGTTTTTTTTTTGCTACTATTGGCCACATGTACCAGGATTATTCGGCCATTTTCTGGGCGTATGTTGATTTACGTCCAAAAACATAAGAGGATGCCTTAATTAAAAGGGACTGGAAGGGACCACCTTCCTTCAGGGAAACCAATATGGTTTTTTTAGACTTTCATTGCTCACTCACTGCAACATAACCCAATTTGGTCAGCTTACCACCATGTTTAAAATTTAATGTAAATAACTGACACTCTTCTGCAGACTGCGGACAATGTGCAATGTCACCCGCGGAATCCTACTTCTACGACTACTTTGCATTTAATTGGGCTCGTCAACTCAGGGCATTCGCCAATTTCCCATTGTTTCTTCAACACGTAAACAAAGACTAAGTATAACCAACGGTTGTACTCTGGTTGCAGAAAAGAACTTTGACTGATAACAAAAAAAGGAAAGCCGGCCTCAAACACTCAAACACTTTAAGACCCATACGAAATACTGAGAAAACAAAATCCACTCAATCTGAACTGTTATCAAAGCTCTTTGGACGAATACTCATCGATGTTTTCTTTCTAAAGTTGGATATTCTTCTTCTGTCGACTTTAGTCCCGTTGTTTTTGGTTACAATTGCTTTATTTTGATACATAGATTCGGTAACCAGTATATCGGAATCCAACCATTTGGACTGCGCAACTGAAGAAGCGCTCGAAATCAACCCCAAACCGGTGCCGATTGTTGGGGTGGAACACGGTGTTCATTACTACGAAGACGGGCACTTTTGGATGGAAGTGCCTGGCCTACCGCCCGAAGATGAGGACGACGACTTGGACTATCCCTTGTACGTCCCCAAACCGACCAAAGTGAACTTCTCGAACGATCCGATCAGAGTGTTTTCGACTTTCAGCATAACCGACTATGACAGGTACGGCACCATAACTTACACAGGAGCTACATTTAAGGTCCCTCCAAGAAATATTTTCAGTTTTTGCACAATATACGCGTATTTTGTAAAACAACATTGTAGGTAAGGTTTTAAGGTCAATACAGGACATCAAAATTTTTATTCTTTGGTCGCATTACCGTTTCGCACTTTTTCGGTCTACTTGAAATTAGGATTTTGTTCAATTTGGCCTCATAATGGGGTTCGTATCGGAAAGCTAATTTCCACTTCTCGGAGGTAATTTTTTGTTTTTAGTGATATCAAGGTAAACAAAAAAAAACAAAATGTACGGTCAGTAGCCAAGTTTTTTTTCAAGTGACGTATAAAACAAAACTGTCAATTTTCTGACATATAAGCATCATATTTTTTTAATGGAACACCCTGTGTATTATATATTTTTTAATAGAATATCTTATTCTATTAACTAATAATTTCATGGACTACGTCTTTACGACTTTTTTTTAAACACCCCGTATACTAGTCTTCGCTGAAAATCGAAAGCTTCATATCCCATGTGTTTCTAGGCGCAACGAAGATGTCGATCCGGTTGCCGCGTCGGCCGAATACGAACTGGAAAAACGGGTGGAGAAGATGGACGTTTTTCCGGTGGAACTTATCAAAGGTCCAGAGGGGTTGGGGTTGAGTATTATAGGGATGGGAGTCGGCGCCGACGCCGGTCTTGAAAAACTCGGTAATTTCTGATATTCACAGGATCCGTAATCGCAATAGGTTACTTTACGGTGACGTCACTCGGTGACCCAGGCTCTAACGCACTGTTTTAAAGTCTTTTTAGCTCGTTTAGAATTTTTTTAATGTTATTTGCTTAAATGAGTGATATATAAGTAATGTTGCCAGGTATTATATTATCCAAAGTAATTAACAGAATAATGGGCATTTTTGCCGTCAATTTTTTTTTTTTTTTTTTGGGACAAACCAATAGAAGTCATCGATCCTGGATGTCATCTCCGTAAAAAGATAAAAACTAGAAATGAGGTTTAATTCATTTAACAAATATTGTTGTGAATAACAATGGGAAATAACAACGTTGTAACTTTTGTCAGCACCAAAACATAATAGTGACTTATTTTCTAAAGAAGATATAACTTGGAAAGATTGATGATGATGATATTGACATAGCAATCGCCAATTATCTTAAAGCTTTGACAATATTTCTATTCCATTAGGCCATTAGTCTATTACTGATGGATCATTGATTTAACCCTGAGTGACCTGCATGATCATATTGCTGCTAACAATGTCTCAATAATATTTTTTCAGGCTACTGTAATACTATTTACATATCTTTTGGATTCTTCCCGCGTCGGTCATCATCATCAGCCTTATTCAAAACTTAAGAAAAACTAATTTGCATTCTACTCTGTACATGCTTATATATTGTTTGAGGGGGGCGGAGCTGAAGGAAGAGCGTGATCATTGTCTCAAATGACTGATCCCGTATTGGTGAAAGCTAAAGATCTGAGTCGCCGTTAAGATTGTTTGGTTGTTCAAAGATATTAGGCGTTCCGTCACAACCTGCCAAAGAAAATGAGTCCGCAAGGAACTCCACACTTGCCACTGTGGGTTTTTTATCAATATAAAAACCAGCTTAAATGAAAATTAATTAAATGAAAGAGCCTTAAGCCTATGGCGAATGAAAGTGGACATCAAATCTTATTTGACCAAATTAAAATTTTTAACAGCCTTAACCGTGACTCCGTTGGTACAGAGTAAAGTGCAAACCGGTCTAAACAGTAAAGGCTCACTACATGAACGGGTACAGAGTAAAATGCGGACTAGTTTCAGTTAAGCTCCAAATAGTATTCCAGTAGCCTGTCTTTATCGCAAGTATGTTAAATTTTGGAGACATATCTGTCTGTAAATACCGAGGGCCACCTGTCTATTGTGTTCACGGATCTTAGGGCGATTTGGCGTATCGTAACGGTTATGCTCGTGCAGGGATATTCGTCAAAACGATAACGGCAAACGGGGCGGCCTCGAAAGACGGCCGCATCAAAGTCAACGACCAAATAATCGAAGTGGACGGCAAGAGCTTGGTGGGCGTGACTCAGGCTTACGCGGCGAGCGTCCTGCGGAACACTTCCGGCCTTGTGAAGTTCCTCATCGGACGAGAGAGGGATCCCGAGAACAGCGAAGTCGCCCAGCTAATCAGACAGTCCTTGCAGGCCGATAAAGAGAGGGAGGAGCGACGGCAGAGGATGCTGGAGGCGGAGCAGCAACAGAGCGACGCGAGTACCGTACAGCTAACGGGTAAATCAAATATCTCCGATTATGGCCGAGCGCGTTACTGATTCGCGGGGAACACCACAAATGGTCGAAAATCCCGAACGGCGTTCGGTCCCGTCTCGGTGAGTCTCGTTGCACTAGGGATCTCGATGTAGCAGACTTTATAATTTGACAGTCGATACCAGTTAAGTAGAATCCAAATACGAAGAAAACAGTGCTCGTTTTAAAGATACAGGATGTACATTGGTTGCTAAATCCGCACAGGACACATAAATTCCTAAGCATAGAATCAATTATTGTTTCCAAAAAAATATTGTTAAGTTTATCGAAGGGTTTTGCAACCCGCATTCAAAAGAATATTTTTTATTAACCAGTGAGTATCTTTTGAATATTTTGTTGTCATTATAACCCCCTATTTATGATAGCTACGGGCTAAGATAAAGTTGACGTCTATCAAATCAAATTTATTGAAATTTCTGGGCTCACGACCTCAGAGTCCCACTGAATCTTTTGTTGTTGCATTGGTGTAGCAGAAAATATTTGTACTGATTATTCTCTTTTATGATGTAAAACTGTTCAAATGGTTGAAATGAAACAAAAATTTGAAGCACAAGCATTTTAATAATTATGCCAAAACATAGTATTTCCGTCATAATTTTTTTCGATGCACATTGCCTTGTCCAAGTAAAAGCCTATAATAATAACATTTTTGATTTTTATGACTTTTAAGACTTCAAGAATTACCAAGAAAGGTCACTTTGTCAGTACCACTTTGATATATATATATATATATATATATATATATATATATATATATATATATATATATATATATATATATATATATATATATATATATATATATATATATATATATATATATATATATATATATATATATATATATATTATTTAATATTTACTGGTGATTCCTATTAACTTATACAAAGGTAGAGGTTATCTATGGAAAAAATATAAAATACTTGCTAATCCCAGGAAAAAATCAAAATTTATGCCCACATTTGATAAAGTGAAGGTCCAACAAATTGGCTAATATCCTTTCACACACGGACTTGTAAGAAAAATGGCCCATGCCAAGCTTTTGTGCCAAACTGTATAACCAAACTAATTGCTCCCACAACTCTAGTCTAGTCTTTCAGTTCTACAAGTACATTCGATTGAGTCCATCTCTATGTAGGGGTACATACGGAGGTGAAGGAAGTAAGGCATCTTCAGCATTTCTAAAATTACGTTAACATAATTCAAGTTTATTAATACTTATATACTTTCAGTCGTACAGTGTAATGTACTACACATTTCAAAAAATATTTATATTACCAATAACTTCTTTACCTTGTCGCAAGTCTATTGCATATATTCTTTCAGTCTCCTTTCTTACACATACTTCTCCTGTCTTGTATTTGGTCCTTCAAGTGTTCATGATTATGTTGCCCCTTCCTTAAGATGACTACACCATTCTCTTCCACTTTTCCTGATATACATATATAGGGGTGAATAGTGTGATAAAATACGACATTTTTTCACTAAACATGCAAAATGCCTTTTTTGTGAGCTACTATAAAATATTAAATCAATTTTACCTCGTTCCCTTACACCTTCTGCGTGAATAATACAGAAAATCGTCGTTAAAAACTATTTGTTAAGGGGTTCTGTTCGTGTTCTACATTATCAAATGAATTTACTACCCACAATTAACTGAATTCCTGTTTAAAAAAAGTAATAAAATGTTAACTTAGTAAGATGAATCATTTTAAATAAGTTTCAATCTTGATATCCCTATAAAAATCGCTGGTTCTAACCTAAACATTCTGTCACTCGATCATGTATGCGTTACGTCTCAGCTGTTGGCGCATCGGTTGTTACAAACCATCCCCCCGCCCTAACCCGAACGCCGTTCGGAATTTTCGACCATTTGAACATTCGATCATTTGCTACCATCTCGATTCGCGTGTCGCAGGATCCGCTAATACGAGCGTAAGCGATGGTCCCGCGAGCCCGACGGTGAACCAGGAAAGCCTCTTCGACAACGAGCAGGATAATTCGGAATCCCTGAGGAACCTGCTGCAGGAGGTAAACCCTCGACGTTTCGCCGCTTGTGGGTGTGGCTTCCCGTTTTTGCGGGTTAAATTTTGGGGAGGAGCCTTGGTTTCGCATTTTTGATGACAAACAAAAAAACATAGTAATTGCATGGTGTGGAAATAATAAAGCAGGAATTTTACGAGGGTCGTTCAAGAAGTGCTCAGACTTATAGACCTGGAAGTAACTTCCAAAGTTGGAAAAAAAGGTTTTTTTTTTGTTCTGCTTACTTACTGAGCCACCCCCGTATAAACTACCAATATTATTTGTGTATCGTTTTGGCGGATAATCGTTATGTGTTGTATTGTGCAGACGCAACGCAAGCTTAAGTTCTCTGAGCATGAGGTCACACGCCTAAAGTCGAAGGTAGGTTTTATAGGAGCGTGCACTTTTTTTTATTATCAAGCGTCATTAATGTTTCAGCGATTTTGTTTGTGACAATCTTTTCCACTAATCAATTATTTGTCTTCGATAACGCCCATTAATCATTTGTTTCAACAGACAATTTTACAGTTGCAATTAAAATCGATTGAATATTGGTTTGATTAGGTTCAAATGATCACGCTTAATACTGTAGGTTTGAACTACTTTCTTAATATTTTAAAATCAAAATTCCTAGTAGGGGTACAATATTACTTGCATGTATTTCAATAATTGCGGCCATTTTATTTAATCCTTTGCATTGTTTATTATTTGCTATCGACTTTCACATGAACCAAAATAATGGAAATGTTTATTGAGTGATCGTTATTTTCTCCATCAGTCGTGAACGTTTATAAATAACAACTACTGAATAATATTTCTTTGAACTCTGAGTACATATTTTTTTAATATTTGCCTTATTTAGCATAATTTGGAGATATCGTTTTGACCAGCATTGCATAACGAAGTACAAAAATATATATTTTTTTATTTTACAAAAGTACCTGTTGTGAATGTATCTTTACTTGATTTCGGGTAATTAATGAACATAGTTCTTTAACGGCTTATTTAATAATAATTCAAATTTTCGTTTGCATTTTCATCGTAAAAAAACTAATTTTGTATTAAGCATCGATAATCATAAAAACTGAACTCTGAGTAATGCATTTGTCAAAGTTTAAGAAAAGTGAAGACCGTCGCATTAAAATAAAAAATATATATTTGTGGCGCCATCTAACTGTGCTGTTTAAAAAATACTTATTTTCGCCAGATTTAGATGACGTGAATTTCAATATATTCTGTGGATCACTTGTTATCGCGAATTAGTGTTAATATTAGATATTAATATTATGACTTATTTCTCCATTAAAAATAACGTTTCATCATCACTAACTCAGTTTTATTTTCAATTTTCAATTTTATTATTATTGACGAATTCAAGTAGTAAAATGTGGAAGCCTATTTAAAAAATGAATAGAACATCTTTTTCGACAGAAATAATTAAATTCTAATTATTAAGATTGTTTTTATCTACCGCACAATTAGTTTAAATTTGTTAAATATTTGCTGCATTAAAAATTTCTTACTTCAACGGACCTTAATCCAATGCCTAGAAGAAAAATACTTAAATAATTATTTAATTAAAGTAAAACGAAGTTTTATTTTGATCTGAAATATCATTCGAAATAAATAAACCTAAAATGGGATTTTTTTTAATGATATTGATATTCGTAACCGGGACCCGTAATAAAATACATTCTAACTGTCATAACGTTGTGTTTGTCACCGTCGTCAGCGCAAAGGTCTACCCAACTAAAGTTATTAATAACAGAAAAAGTCATATTGTTACATTGACTGTGTTTCTTCAAAAATCACCCTTCTTAACGACTTTGAAACCACCCCTCCTCCAATTGTTCAACTTACCACACCATACATTAACTGACTTGCGATTTTCACTGCCTGCATTTTGTGTGGATTATTGGTGGACTAAAAATGTTTATTCTTCCTATTAAATACACCTGCTGTTATGGACGAAGCTTCATTCGTAAATATTTTTTTAGAAAATTTCCATCTTCTTACCTTTTATTTTCATCGGTTAAATTTTGCAGGGAAGGAACTTATACGGGTGAACGAAAATACTGTTATTTTATATAAGAGAAAGATCTATGTATATGTAAAAAAAGTAAGGTGGATTATACATAAATTGTAAGTTTCAAGGATTAATCTGTGAAAAGTCCTGAACTACTGTTTTCAACATAGATCATGGAACAGAACGGGATGAAGCCGGACGATTCAGAAAAATTCGAACAGGTGAACCAGCGTCTGCAGGACGCGGAACGGCAGCTTTCGTTCGCCAAAAAGGAGGTCCAGACGTACCAGAACATGCTGGAACAATCTCAGACGCAATACGCGGCCCTCGAGAAAAAATACAGCAGGGCCAAACAGTTGGTCAGGGAGTTCCAGCAACGAGAGCTCGACATGCTGCATCGCGAGGACTTTTACCAGCAGCTGTTGCAGGAAAAGGATACCGAGTACAACGCGTTGGTGAAGAACCTGAAGGACCGGATCATAGCCCTGGAACAGGACCTGCTCGACACGCAAAGGAAGGCGGGGCTGCCTATGGCGCTGCCGTACGACGGTATAAATTCGAAACAGCTCACGCCGCAGATGTCGCGGAAACAGCCGCCGAAACCGCTGTTCCAGACCCTCAATCCGGAACTCTCCGATACGGAGGTGTCCGACGCGAGTCCCGACGACGACAAAACGGCGACGGTGGAAAGGAAACTCCCGGTCAAGGAAGAATTCGACAGTGCGGTACGTAACAGGTTTGGATGATCGTTGATATATCGCCGGTGTACAAGAGAAATTGGCCAAGTCCAAATTTTCTAGAATTTAATTTGTAACAGTACAATGTTCAAAACGTAATATATTCTTTTTTATAAATGAATTCCATAAGTTGAGATGGTGCAGTTGTTCAAGTTCGTATGTAAAAAAAACTTACAAGAGAAAATGACCAAGTTGTCCGAAGTTTATATATGGCCAAATCGAGGTATATTTTATTGGATTTTATTTTTAGAATTTTAAATAATATTATTGATAGTGTAAGTTGGAGCGTGTAGTGGGTACTAAATCAAAAACCTTAGTCCCAGCTTTTGGTAAGTAATAATATTGTGCTTTTTTGCTTAGTACCTCCATACCTATTAGAAAAAGACCATTCACACATGCAAGCAGACTCGATGTATATATAGTGCAATAGAACGAGCCAAAAGTCTGTCTTAAATGACTGGAAAACAATTATGACAGTAGCACATTATGCAACACGTGCGGTAAACGTTGACTCACGAGTTAATTTGACACGACCGGGGCGAGTTTTGAATAAACGAGTGAGTTAAAAAGTTTACCGAACGTATTGCATACTATACTTTTTCTACGACCGTTAGTTTTTGGGTACATTTTCGCAAAACACGAATACATTCACTGACATGAGTGTCAGAATTGACAAACGTCAAAATTCAAAGCGTGGGAAATATCTCCGAAAACATCCGATTGCTCCAAAACCCGTGCGGTAAAATCCCGGTAATGTCCGAAGTGGCTCGAATTTGTGGGAAAAGAAACTGACGTGGTAAATCGACGCTGCCCGCACGCTGCGCTGCGTAATTAGGTATTTTACAGACGGGGGTAGAAAAACAAAATTTCGAGTGCTTATAATGTTAACCAGCTGACGTACAATGATTTTATTAATCTTGAAGAACTCAGCAAATCAACATTAAAAAATACGATTCGAGACAAAACTGGTCAAAGAGTGGAATGGCTGAAGATCAAACAACTCCGGTATGAAAAAGGAACAAAAAATTTAATAATGTTCAGATACAATTACGACGAAGAATACAAAGTTCTAAATATAAGAGGAAACGTAATGGGTAGACTCAATAGTACCCCGAAAGAATGAGATTTAGAAAAGTGCCACCCAGAACCCTTGCCAATATTCAAAAACAAAAAGGATGACTTAGTTAAACTTTGCCGAACTCGAATTATTCCCAATAAGTATTGGCTGTTACATCAACTTACCAAGTAATTACCAAATAAGACAAATGTTTCAAACCTGCAGAAAACGAAAGCAGTGATGAAGAAGTATAATGTTAGGATTATTTTAATACTACTTTATTTTTCTTATTAGTAATTATTATTGTTTAATAATTTGTTATAATCGCGAATTTGTTATTTAAATAGTTAATAAATGTTAGGGGAACAAATTGACCTTAATTTCCTTTGAACAGGAAAATAATCGGTATAGTTATATTATGACTAATAAAACCATACAATTTTTTTTTATTATGGTAGTAGATTAACAAAAACCTATTCAATATGTATTTCCCCTAAAATACACTTGCAAGAAATAATTGAATTTTATATTTGTTCATAAATCTTCAAATATTAATAGCTTAAAATTGTTAATATTGGACTTGGTCACTTTCTGTCGTATACCGACGATATAGTGTGTGTCAATCTTCATCGTCCCATAGGTATGAAGGGACAACGTTAGGGAGGGACCCTCAAAGGTTTTGGTAATAATATATACTTTTTTTGTTTATTCAGGTGGTTATAATAATAATAATAATAATAATATCTTTATTATCCCACATATTTAGAATACAATAAGTGTATTATGGATTTCGTCAAGTAGGTCAATATAGATCATGCAAATGAGCCAGAAAATTACATTAAAATTTTATATAATAAAAATATATGACAGAGCACCACAATACAGTGATGACAAACATTAATAGGTTAAATATTCGTTTAAATTATAAAAACAGTTGTCTAGGAGGAAAAACTTTAGTTTGGATTTAAAAATGTTTACATTACTCTTTAGCTCTGGGGACCGTCTATTGTAGACTCTTAATACCGGTGTTCGTAAAATATTTTCTTGAAAATTGTAGTCTAATTTTCTTTATGGAGAAACAGTCTTTGTTACGTGTATTATAGTCGTAGAAATCTCCGTTTTATTTGTAAGGTATTTTTATTTTTATATACCCATAAACAAACTTCTAATTCCCGGAAGAGGGGCCTGCCCGAACTATCTGGCGACACTCCAGCAATACACCTCCGAACTTTTTTTTGGGATTTGAAAACAGATGTCGTATGACTTGAATTTCCCCAAGAGGGAATACCATAGAGTAATCTCGAATAGATGGGAGCATAGAAGAAATTTATCATGCACTTTCCGGTAAAAAAAAAAAGCTTCCTGTTCGATAAGTCCTCAACTGATTAAAGTTTCATTCACATTTTTCATAACCTGTTTTGCATGAAGCGACAAATAACTTTTTCGAAACGCACAATAAAAACGATTATTCAACACTGCCACGAATGCTCACAATATATCAGAAATAAAGAAATATATACTTAGACCAGAAATATAGTGCTTTTACAATCGATCCCGTGATTAACTACTGTTTATTACTCCAAAAGTGCGGTCTCTTATAGAACACCCTGTCGAGAGACCCTTACCCGTAACCATTCCAGGACCGTCCTAGGAATTTATCTGCCTACACTAACAAGCGGGATATAAGTATGCTTTCAATCTTCTTCGTATGATGGGCATAAACACCGTGTCGGAACACTCGCTTCTATCATTCGAAAATACCTATCCCTCAGCATCAATGCTTAATCAAATTTAAAACGGTCCATTTACGTTTCAAGTAAAAATTTCAAGTTTTTACAAATATTTGTCACGGTCCATCTCAGGCGAGACCTACTTAATGTTGGGATGAGTTTTACCACGGTAAAATACTTAAAACGTCAAAGCAATAAATGAACTATATTTTTGGTTGTGTGGGATTGTGTGCGCGCTGTGCTCGCCCTATGTGGTACTTTTCTTTTGTCTGAATGTTTAGCGTATTTAACTCATTCGGAGTGCAATTTAATTTATCAAAATTAGTGCGGAGTGTATAGTAACATTTTTCTCTTCGTATTAAGTGTTAGCAACAACCCCTGTTTTATCAGTAGGCTGTTTAAAGGTTGTGCACGTGTGTTGTCATTGCGCGGAGTCAGATTAGTTTTTGTCACCCCGGTGACGTTGATCTGTTGGGAACGGACTGTGCGCACGGAAGCTTTCGTCTATTTGATTGGTTTATTTGAGGCTGAAGACCGATAGTTGCTTTATCATTGAAAAATGAGTGAAAGTTTGGGAGTATGCAAAAGGTGCAAGAGCAGCTCCATTAAATCTGGTCTTAGGTGCGTTAGATGCGGTGTTTTGTCACACGTCAGTTGTCTAAAGCAGATAAAAACTGCGAAGTGGTCTGTTGATGGTAAATCGGTTACATGTTGTGAAGATGAGGTTGCCAAAACTGCAAAAACTGACGTCGTCTCACCAGTTGAAATTACTGTCGAGGAAGTTCATCAGGATGGCACAGATAAATTAAAAGTCTATTATTTGGAACAAATTATTAAACAGCAAGAACTAACGATTCAGAATCAAGCTATTGCAATCGAAGCTTTGACAGATCAGATACGATTGTTGAAGTCTGTCCAGCCTGCAGAAACCATTTCAGTGATGCATGATCAAAACGTGCCTGGTAAACTGGAGCAACCTAAAACACACCATAAACATAACCATAAACATCGAAATCAGCGCAACGATCCGCCTCACAATTCAAAATTTAGTCCTGAGGCTGTGGCAGTTGCGATACAACAAGCTGAAGCGACGACTATTTGTAACCAAGTACAAAATCTCGTTACCGGGGATAGTTCTAAGCAGTTTTCAAGGGCCCCTAGAGCCACGAGGTCCACAAATGTCTTGATCGGTGCAATGGAGAATCCAGTTTGTTCATTAAAAGCTGTCCAGAAGAGCCATCAGTATCACATTACCAAACTTGACCCTCAAACGTCCGAGGATGATCTCAGTGTCTATTTGAATCAACTATCTACCAATGCGTCGGTGTTCAAACTACAATCAAGATTTCCAACACAGTATTCTTCTTTTAAAGTCACCATCCCGGAGGTAGATTCGAGTAAGATTCTTGATCCGAATCTTTGGCCTGTGGGAGTGAAGATAAACAGATTTTTTCCATCTAAGAAGTTTGGGTCCGGAGCAAGTGAGGTTTGTGCCACCCAAGGGAATGAACAGTGTTAAGGCTTGGGGAAAAGTGCAGGAAATCCATTCTTTGTCAACTAATAATTTCTACAATATTTTACATATAAATATTCAAGCGCTACATAATAAAATTGATGAAGTTTCACTGTTTGCAAGAGTAAATAATATTGATATTTTGTGCCTCTCTGAGCATTGGCTGGATGGCGGTGGGCTTGAGTCGGTTAAAATGAACGATTTTACTTTAATTTCGTCATTTTGTAGACCAAAACTTAAACATGGTGGCGTTGCTATTTTTTCAAGACCGCATATCAAATACAAATATCTAGATGTCGGCGGATTTGCTATTCAAACTCATGCAGAATTTTGTGCAGCGGAAATTATTGATAATAAGACTGTTTTACTTGCTCTTTACAGATCTTCTACTTCAGGCAATGTATCCATTTTTATTGATCATTTGAACAGAATGATAAGTTTTCTTCATAAACGTTATGACAACTTAATTATTGTTGGCGATTTTAACGTAGACTTAACACAAAAAACCTCACAATCAGAGGAGTTAAAAAATATATTCATTTCGTTTGGCTTAGAGTTCTTTGTAAAAGAACCTACCAGGAAGTCTAAATCAGTAGATTCCTGTTTGGACAATGTAATTTCCAATTTTCCTAGTGACCGGTTAAGTGTCCTAGTCTGTGACCCCGTTTTGTCAGATCATTTGGGACAATTAATAAAAGTTAATTCGTCAGTGCTTTGTCGTAATCATGATAAAATTAAAAGAAGGTTAATAAATAATAAACGTATAACTGCGTTCGGCAACAGTCTGGAGCACATTGAGTGGTCCAAACTTGTCAGTAACGAACAAAGTGGCGTTGAGTTTTGTTCTATGTTTATTGAACAACTTAGGGGAGCTGTCGACAGTTTCTTTCCCATTGTTAACTCTACCATCCATTGCTCGCCAATTAAATGGTTCAATGAAAACCTTAAACAAATGCGCCAGCATCTTTTATGCCTTAAAAAAAAATACCATAGTTCAAAAAGTAACCAAGACTTTCATGCTTACAAGCGGTTCCACAAAGAATATCGTCACACTATAAAGGTGGAGAAAAAGAAGACTTATGATGACATAATTCTGAGTTCAAATGATAAATCTAAAACGACATGGAATATTGTTAATTCGGAGAGACGGTCTAAGCACAGTAACTCTATTCAATCATCTATTACTCCGTTGGAGTTCAACAGATATTTTGCTTCTGTGTCAGCGGAGATAACGAAAACCATCACACCTTCAGTAGTAGATGCTATGACCTACATCTCCAGATCATCTAGACCCAATTTCTCGTTTTTTATGTCGGCAGTTGTGGAGAGTGATGTTAGGGAAGCGATTTTAAAACTAAAAAACTCTCGTTGTCTTGACTATTATGGTCTAAATGCCAATATTATTAAGCAATCAATATCTTCACTTCTGAAACCTATTACGTTACTAATAAACAATAGCATTGAAGAGGGATGTTTTCCGGATGAATTAAAAGTGACAAAAATTCTTCCACTCCATAAAAAAGGGGATACTAATATCTTAGATAATTTTAGACCAATAGCAATCGTTCCTATCATTGGAAAAATTTTTGAGTCGATAATAAAAGATAAACTTATTGCTTACTTTGAGGGAAGGAAATTGTTAACAGATTCCCAATTTGGTTTTCGGTCAGGTAGGTCCACCATCCGTGCCTTATACACAGTGATTGAGCATGTGATTGATGGGTTTGAGGAGGGCCTGTCGACTTCGGTAACGATGTGCGACCTCACCAAGGCATTCGACTGCGTGGATACTAATATACTTCTGTCTAAACTTGAGTACTACGGAATTCGTGAAAATACCTTAGCCCTTTTAAAATCTTATTTGACCGGAAGAAAGCAATATGTTGTCTGGAATAATCGGGAATCCACTCTGTTGGACATTACTAATGGAGTGCCTCAGGGTTCCATCCTTGGTCCACTTTTGTTTATAATATATGTCAATGATGTAGTATTTGCAACAAATGCTGCTCGCAGTATACTCTATGCGGATGACACATCATTGATTGAATCGGAGAAAGATCTAACTAATTTAAATAAAAAGGCTGTCACTACACTCTCTATGATTGAGCACTGGTTCTCTGCAAATAAACTTAAATTAAATTCCGATAAAACAAAGACTCTAATTTTCAATACCAATCGAAGAAGTAAAAAATCTGAACCGGTCAAACTCCTTGGTGTTTACCTAGATGCGTTTTTAACGTGGTCGCCTCATATAGACTACCTGTGCGGTAAATTGTCATCTCAGGTTTTTGTTCTGAGACAACTGCGAGGTTCGATCTCGCAAAGCACTCTCCGTATAGTTTATTTTGCACTGTTTCATAGTATCTTATCTTATGGTCTACTACTGTGGGGGAACGCGACGGAGGCCGAGAGAGCCTTTAGATTGCAGAAGTCTGCGGTTCGGGTTCTTGGGGGTGTTCCGCCGTCCAGCCACTGCCGCCCAATATTCAAAGAATTGAAAATACTTACGTTACCATGTATGTTTATTCTCCAAACTTTAGTTGAAATCCACTCAAATTTGTCTGTTTTTCCGACTCATGGTGGATATCACAGTTACATGACGCGAACAGCTGACAATATCAAAACATTAAGATCGAGGTTGTGTACTACACAAAAAAATAAACTTAATCTAGAATTGTATAATATTTTTGCAAACACTATTTTTCGGTCCAAAAATATTGATATTAAACGACTTTCCATCAAAAAATTCAAACAATTATCAAAAAAGTTTTTTGAAGAGCATTGTTTCTATTCCATAAACGAATTTGTTACTTATCGGGCACAGTAGATCTAAATTATTTTAAGTTATTTTATAAATTGTTATTCTTTTGCTGACTTTAAAAATACGTTTTGTATTTGTAAATGGTCAATAAACGATATATATATATATATATATATATATATATATATATATATATATATATATATATATATATATATATATATATATATATATATATATATATACCTGGCCCACCCCTGCCTTGTCGCTCAAGTCAGAATAAATTTTTTGTTAATGGTTTTACCCAATAACAATAGGTGACAACATCGTTAAAGTTTTATTGGAAAAGGGTCCGTCGACAGCCAACACGATGAAGATTTAGACAGACTATACTTTTTTGAGATATCTGACATCTCAAAGTTATTTCAATGGAGGTTAAACCTATGAGTTTATGAATACTAACGCTTTGTGCCGATTTACGAAAACGATAGCGCTGCGATTCTGCACTGTTTTTCCAGACCTTAACTCCCTTTTCGCCTGAAAATTTAATAGGATTTCGACTTATTTTGTGCTAATACTGCCGTAAAAATGCCGCATCCAAATATCGACGATCTGTTGCCGGCCATTTTGTTTGTAATTAGAGCTGCCATTGGTTAAAAACGAAATTTTAAATCTCTCGCAAGCGCACGTTGAATGGACCTTCTCAAAAAAATTTACATAGTTGCTTCATGAGCTCCTGTACTCTCAGCATAGGCATAGGCATAGTACGAGGGCTACCTTTTATATTTTGGGATTTGTAAAAACGATAAGCTACCAACAAATATGAATTTACTGTTTCTCAAATTATCCACCCTGATGATCAAAACACTTTTGCATTCGATAAAACCAATCATTTTTTTGTCTTCAGTGTCCGTCAAAATTCTGGAATGCAGTAGCTTTTACCGCACCGTACGTTTTCTTTGAATCTCCCATTTATGACATTTTCAAGAATTGTAATCCTCTCTCGATCACTGCTTACTGAAGAACTACTGTTTCTTCAGCCTGTTCAACAGCCAACAAATTTTGTGGAGAAGTCGTGTTACCGTCGTTGTTATACCGTACTTTGCTCTGAGCGTTCTTGTGTATCGTCTGATATCATTGCCTTCTGAATATCCACTAACTTAACATAAAACAGCCAACTGCTTGAGTTTGACTTGATATTCACCCTGATGATCAATACACTTTTGCATTCGACAAAACCAATCATCAAAGCACTTTTCCCACATCGAGTCGGGCACCTCCAAAACATGGTTTTTAAACGCATCAACTCTAGTGTCAGAAATCGTTGCCCAGGTAATTTATTCTCTAATGTATGGGAATAAAAAGAAGTTATGAGGTGCTAAATCAGGACTATATGGTGGAAGACTCATCGAATCAACGTTTTTAATGCTCAAAAAGTTCTTGTTTTGCACTGATCAGTGAGAGATTTTTCTAATTTCTTCGAAAACTTTCGACAAAGAAATGGTTGGTAACATTTAAAATTGACTGGTTTACCTTTCACCAAAGAAACAGTTGCAACGTGGTCAGTTTTCCTGAAAAACCAGGCTACCATTTGTTTCGAGGTGCTTCGCGCACGAACAACTTTTGTGGGCTCATTCTGAAAGACCCGCACAGTCGACTGCTGCTTAGATGTGCATAGGTCCATGAATTATCACCTTTCACGATCATCTCTTTTTCGATCAACCAACACGAGCATTTTTTTGAGCCGATGTCAAATTGTGTGTAATCGAACGCAAACAATTTCTTTGTGCGGCCAAATGTGCATGCAAAATTGTATGTATGCTGGTCCCACTAATGCCCAAAGGTACCTCAATCTCATGGTACGTCACATGACGATTTTGGACGACCTTACCGAAATTCATCCATAAAAAAACTACGAGCACGACTGAAGTCCGAAAACCAGCGATAAACAGTAATCCTGGATGATGCTTTGACTCCAAAAGTCGAATTAAGTTCATCGATGCATTGTTGTTGAGTTAGTCCACTTCTAAAGTTGTAAAAAATTATTGCACGAAAATGCTCCGGGTCAAGTTCCATTGTTAACCATCACAATTTTTTAAAATTATCACAAAAAACATAAACAACACTCTTTCGTCGAAACCTAACTAGTAAACCTAACCTCAAAATGTCAAACTTCCCTATAAAGTCGCCAGATGGCAGGACTAGTTTAAGAAAATACCGACGTATAAAACTCAGCCCTCGTAGCTATATGGTTGATGGTGCAATTCCAGGTCCCGCCCCACGAGCTATTAGACATAGCTGCGACCAAAAGCAAGGCGGAACTGGCGACGCGCGGTTCGTTGGCGAACCGACAATTGCCGAGCGTTAAAAAGGGCTCGTTGAGCAACAGCAGCTCGGATTACGGTCTCGACGAGAGTTACAACTCGGCCGACGAATTGACAGATCCGGTCGCTTATTCGCCAAAGTCTAAATTCATTAACATCGCACCAACTACCACCACCACCACCGCTACCATATCAACCACTGCCACCTCTAACGTGCCGAGGCCCGCCTCCTTGCACACTAACTTGCGATATTTGCAGCAGTATAACCTCCAGCAGCAGCAGCAGCAGCAGGTCGAATCACAACACTATACTTCGGTGCAATATAGTCAAGTACAGAGATCTGGCGTGTACTCCGCCCAGAATCAGGGCGTGGTTTATGCAAGAGTACAGAAGGACAGTACCGTGCAGCAGGGCGAGATTTCTTGGGTCGACGGGGGCGGCACGAAGGTGGGTCCGCCCCCGTCTCTCGCGGAACAGCTGAAACAGGTACGCGAATGATGAAGGCGATTGCGGACGGCCAAAACTAACCAAAAAAAAATTGATCAAATTTGAAAAATAAGTATCAGAGCATTTTTTTCTAACTAACCAAAAATTTTCAGTTTTACTTCACTCGACAGTGTATTTTGTGGGGGACCGAGAAGACCTTTCTTGAGTACTAATGTACCAGTTAGGAATAATGCATAAATACTCAAAGTCATATATTGCTCTTGGTTAGTTTTGGTTCTCCAACCATACCTTAAATTTGCTGTTACAGCATCTTCTCTATTAGAATCTGTGGAAAAGTCTGCCACCCCTGACGACTCCATAATTCTTTGTGTTCACAGACTTCTTAAGATTTACAAACCCCTCCTCCGAAACATGCTTTTTTTAAACGCATTAATCGCTTCTTCTGTTGTCAGAAATCGTTGCCCACGTAATTTATTCTTAATGTATGGGAATAAAAAGAAGTCATTAGGTGCTAAATCAGGACTATATGGTGGTAGGCTCATCAAATCAACGTTTTTAATGCTCAAAAAGTTCTTTGTTTGCACTGATCGGGATTGTCGTCTTCGGCGGTTGGTTTTTCTAATTTCTTCGAAGACTTTCGCCAAACAAATGGTTGTGTACCATTCAGAATTGATTGTTTTACCTTTCACCAAAGAAGCAGTTGCAACGTGGTCAGTGTTCATGGAAAAAACAGGCTACCATTTGTTTCGAGATGCTTCGCGCACCTACACCTTTTCTGGGCTTTGACTCCTTGTGAAAGACCCGCACAGTCGACTGCTGCATACTTTCAGGTTCATATGCGTAGATCCACGATATCACAACGCGAACAAATTTCACACATGACGATCCTGCAAAATTAGTTCGCGTACTGCATCGATGTTTTCGTGGACAACCACCGATTTTGGGCGACTTTCACGAAATTCATCCTTAAGAAAACTACGACCACGATGGTAGTCCTAGATGGTGCATTGTTGTTAAGTTAGTCTACGTCTAAAGTTGTAAAAACCTACGGCAAGAGATTTCTTTAATTTATCACAAAAAAACACAAACAACACTCTTTGCCCAAAACCAAAACTGACTAAATCTAACCTTTTTTAGAAAGATCATTTGGAACTCGTTCTCATAAAAAAATTTTTAAAGACGCGCCTGTTTTTGTAGGTATTGGCCGAGAGGGAGAAGCGTTTGAGCAGCGACAGCGTGCACAGTTCCACCGACGAGCTGAACGAAAAGTCGAAAAACAACGCTGCGCAGCATTTGCTGGAGGAAATCCGGCAAGCCGTCAACGAAGCGAACGCCAAAGGTGAGTCCGGTCGTCTCGCGATTCGAGAACCTGGCTATTAATTTCGTGTTTTTGTGATGTGTTTTGTAGTTAAGAAAGTTGTTCCCGTAACGTTATCGCCCCCAGGTAGCACGCCCTGGCAACACCAGGGAAACCCTTCGCCCACCCCGCCGTCCCCGTCGAGCTTGTCGTCCGGTTCCGTGTCGCCATCCAGGCACGACACTTCGTGGGCGGCCACAGACTTAAGTCTGTCCTCGTGTAGCATAGCTAGCGATAAAAGGAACTCGCATTTTTGGCAAACCACGCCCGTTAATGATTGGAACAAAGATCAAGTGAGTCCCGAGGCTTCTAAAAATTGCTTGCCATGGTTAAAAACGTCTCGATTCTGGAGGTTAGATCGAAAAATGGGCTATTACAAGAACTACACCAAATGGATCCTGGTTTCGTTGGACAACGCAAAGCTCGAGAAACCCAAAAATTAATGGCCACAAATATAAAAATAATAACAACTGGTAACATACAGAGAAACGGCCTATTGGAAATATCTGGCGAACGAATCAATCAATCATAGTAGAATAGCTATGACAGTTCAACAGCAATTTCTACCTTTTTTACATGTAAATTCCCAGGAGAAAATGTAAGGTTCATATTTAGCAACAACCGATCAACCCTCAACCCCCCCACCCCCCTTCGTGGGCCATAATTCTCCATACCTAACACATAATTACCCATTGGTTTTGATATGCTGCTTGGCTCATGGTTGGAAAAAAACATAGGTCACATGTATTGAGTGGTTGCGTGAGGGTTGAGGGAAGGGGTGAGGGTAGGTAGAGTTGTGGTGGATCGAATGACCTTGAGCTAATATGAACCTTAAATTTTCTTATGGGACTTTACATGTAAAAACGGCCGAAATTGCTGTCGAACTGTCATTGTTATTCTACTAATCATATACCATGGAGTAAGACTTTTAAATTTTAATGTTGTCCTCTTCAAAGTAACTCGCCCCCCACCCCCACCCGCCTTCGGTAAACACCTTTTGGAATAGTGTTCAGTTCTTCCAGCGATTTTTTCTTTATCTACTCAATCGTTCCAAACCTGTTTCCTTTTATGGGTTTCTTGAGTTTTGGGAACAGGGAGCCGTATCCGGTGAATATGGTGGCTGAGGCATCATAATTCCGGTTTTGTTTTTGGCCAAAACTTAGACACAAGCAACGACGAGTGAGCAGGTGCATTATCGTCATTCAAAAAAAAAAAACCTTGTGGGAAGAACTCTTGATGTTTATGCCATGAAAACATGACATTTGATCGAACTTGACGTGCTTTTTTCGTTCTTGGCGGTTCCGACTTCTTTTATTGGGACCACTGCGCTTTGGTTTCGATGTTATAACCATATACCCATGATTCGTCACTAGTTATGAACTTTTTCAACTGAATGCAGAGAATCGCCGATTACACATTCTTAAGAAAACTATAACCACCACTGAAGTTCGACAACCAGCGATAAACAGTAGTCGTAGATGGTGCTTTAACTCCAATAGTCGAATTAAGTTCATCGGTGCATTGCTGTTGAGTTATTTAATTTTATTATTATTATTTAATTATTGCACGAAAATGCTCCCGATTAAGTCCTATTTTTAACCGTCACGATTTTTTAAATTTTACACAAACAACACTCTTTCGCCAAAACCCAACTGAATAAACCTAACCTCAAAATGTCAAACTTCCCTATAAAAACGCTAGTCGCCAGATGGCTAGTTTAAGAAAATCCCGAAATATGAAAGGCAGCCCTCGTATACAGTTTTCGAGAAATGATTTTTTTCTCGAACCCCTGAAGCAAATACCGTTTTTAAATTCTTTAAAACGCTTAAGAAACTTAATAATATGAACAGACAATTTTTTTTTATTCAGCGCTGATCATTTCGTTGCCAAGCGCGTATGCTTTGGAAAAATTCGATTTTTCGAAAGCAACAAGTGACGTCGCTGAGAGAAAAAAACGTTGTTCTTTTTCTAGGTGTGCCAGTGGTTGTTGCAGATCGGCCTCGATCAGCACATACCGAAGTTCGCTGAGCTGCAAGTGAACGGCAGCGCGCTGACTCTGCTGACGTCAGCGGACTTTAAAATTCTCGGTATAACTAGCGACGACAAAAACCGACTGAAACGGAAAATCAAAGAGCTGAAGGTGCAAGCGGAAAAGGAACGGAAACAAATGGAAAGGGAGCGGAAAGAGAAGGAGAAGCAGCTGCGGAAGGCGGAGAGGGCGAACAAAAAGAAATGAAGGCCTCAGGAATAGACTTTCCGTCGATAGTTTGGTAGTTCAAACGTACCACAATGCCATATTGTTTAAACGAGGCGCGAGTGAGTTTTGAATTTTTTGACTGTGATGATAATATTTCTAAATAATTGTGTAGCACAACATCCGTCAGTCATTTTTAATTCGTTATTTATTTTATCGATTTTTGAATGTGCGAAGGTGGACAGTGGACTAGGTGAGTACTATAGTGAAACCTAAAATTTCATTGTAACTGTGCGAACGATGTAATCCAAAAGTTTTTTGTAAATTTTGGGGTAGCAATTTCTAATTACGAACCCAATTAAATTATGTGCCGTAATTGGGATATTTTAGAAAATGTGTATTATTAAACATGTGCTCGTGTTGTACGTAGGAGTGGACGTTTAGTTTTTCGGGCAGTACTTAGACGCCTTTTTTGTTTTTTCACGCGTTTTATTTAAAGTTCCTTGTCGCCCGATTCCCCGAACATTATGTGATAGGTATCTTATCGAACGACCCCCAATATTTTATTTATTAATTTATTTCATATTTTATTCACGGTTTTTGTCACGCCTGTTGTTTCGAAATTAAATATCTATTATTTAAATTGTTTTAAATTTTATTATTTTTTTGCTTGTGCGAAAATTTGCGGGGTGTTTAAAAGATGCGCGGCTATATTTAAGGTTTTTAAGTTTAAATTTGGCTTGTTTCTGGCGATAAATGAATCGAAATTAAGCAGTTCCATTGGGGATAGTAAAATTTATAAACAAAAATGTACGCCACTGGCTTTAATTTAATTGCAACACTTTACTACTTTTTCCTCTCTTGAATTTTTCTCTCATCTTCCTTCATTCGCCGGATAAAAAATTGCATGTCAATATAAATATTTTTCAACATAACTTAATATTGAACTCATAGGTCCTCAACATTTTCTACAGGAGTAATCCTTCACACTTTGGGTAAGTCTGGTAGTCTGGTGGAAACACTGGTTCGGTTAGGCAGTCAATTTCTTATTGGATTCCTTGACAAAACTTGACGAGTTAGATAAATCGTCCGTGAGGATCGTTTTTGGCCTGCCAGTACTCAGAGGCAATAAGACTAGGAGACCTTTTAGTGTACATCTTCCATCAGCCTGTACCTGGGAAGCAATGAATTTTTTCGTAAAATGATCTATAATAAAATAGGGTGTGGCCGCTTCTCACATTCCATAAGTCATGATTTCACTCTCATAGCTCGTCTTACTGTTTCATTTCTGTAATGGTTCAGGTTGGAGTGTTCTATTGCTTCTTCTTTAGTAGTCCATCCCCACAGCCAGCAGTTTATCCTCGTTTCTCTCTCACATAATTCCCAAGTTTCTGAGCCCTACGTAGTTATTTAGTTTTTTGTGAGAAAACCACTGCTTTGGAAAAGGGTCACACCAAGATAAGCACCTAACCTAACTTCTATCGGTTTTAAACAGTAGAACAGCAAGAGAGCAACCTTGTTTTTTTTACTCGCTTCGGCGGTACACATACTACAATTGGAAAGATACGGAGAAGATCAGCATGGCGCCTGGCCAAGGATGACACTCAAAATCGTGAAGCGTTCCACATTTTTTACTAACATAGTACTGAGGGAAGCAAGTGAGATGGATTTGGAACACAAAAGATAAAAGCCCAATCTGTTCCGTTAAAATTCAGGAAAGAAAAAGGAAAAACAGTAATAACTCCTAATAGTTTGCAGTTAAGAAGAGTGACACTTGCACTCCTGATTTTCAGATCTAGCTTTTACAGATGCCAGATTGGGCTTGCCAAATGATCTATCCAGCAAAGCAGTCATCCTTTCAGACTCAAAAAGTTTCCTTGGAGATATCAATAAAACTGTGTTGCATGCAAAGTGAAACTACTTAACCAAGTCTGCTGAATACGAAGCCATACTACTATATATATAAAATTAAGTTTTAGGGAGTTTTCCCTAAATTAAAGCATAACATCTGGAAAGCTTTTGGAGTGACAGATCGAAATGGAGTTAATTTAAGCTCACATTTTTCTACTCCGCCATCTAAACCCTGGTTTCATCAGCTGGATGCCAATAGAAGAGACATCCCAACTAGGTGTAAACTGGGAAGCAACCATTGCTGTTCTCCTGCTTACCTAAGTAGAATTAAATTTAAACCCTCCGGACACTGTAAATGTTTATACTACTAGAATTGTTTGGTGTTACCCAGACCTTCTTTACGGAGGCATCCTTCGTGGAAATAGTTTATTGCACACCGCTACCGAGAAGCTGACCGAATTGCCTTGGCGGCAGTAACCAAAAAGCACAAATAAAAAAAAACCTTTTATCGAGTATTTTTTAAACACCCTGTAACAATATTGCAAGCAGCTGTACATTATCGTAATACCGCGTTTTTTTTTGTTCATTTGTATCGGAAAATGTAATCGTCTTATAGTACAAAAACCAAATCAAATTTCGATAGGTCGTGTGGTTTTTCGTTAAGGGGAGGCACAGCGCAAAATCGCCGTTTTGCTCAATTTTCGAGATTTCCCTGACGGATTCTTTTTTATAGCCATAGCCGATGTCTGAGGCGCATTTTTTTTGTGATTCAATTGCAATTTTTGTATTTACAATATATATTGAATGAACATGTAGATCCGATGAAATTAATAAAAATGACCTTGTATTTATAAGACGGGTGTTTGTCTTGCCCTGGTCCCGTTTGAACCTCCTAGTATGAGATTTAGTGAAAACGCTCAAGGTCCGCGGGGTGCCTCAGGGTTCAGTTCCCGACCCGCTGCTATCTAAACTTTACGTCGTATACTCAAAACTTGCAATTTTATCTTTTGAAAGCCCATTGAAGTGACGTTACAAAAGTTGGTTGTACACGGCGAGTGGACAATAAAGTTCATCAATACATTGTTAGGACGCAGAATTGACAATTATTTCAAGGTACACGCGGCGTTTCAAAATATATTTTTAAAACATTTTATTTTATATAGCTGTTTTAAATATTTTGGGATTTATTTAAACTTTTCCAAATCTGTTTGATACTGTTGCTATAACATGACAAAATGAGATTGTCAAATTTTTACCTGACAGCTGAGTAAATATATTCATAACATTTATTATGGTGTCAGTAAATTAAAAAAAAAACTAAGTATGGATTTTCCGAAAGCTGAATTAATTGATATGATTGATAGTATGGTGGCAGAAAAAATATGTATATACTAACTAGATAATGTCTTCAGTGTTAAATGGTTAGTGGTAAATGTTACCAATAAGGGAAAAAATGGAAATTTTACTTCAACTTCAAGAAAACCCCCAAGTCAATAGTGATATGTTAGAAAACGCAAATATCATCCCGTCTGTATGGTGTTACACAAAGAACTTCTAGACTGATAGGTATTTAATATTATCTACTTTTTCTGTGAATTTAAAGTTTGGCCGTTATTTTTACTAAAATTGCTAACAACTATCTGTTGCTTTATCTACTGCTCCAACAAAGTTCCTTTTCCTGTTTATTTTTTAAACTTATGACTGTTCGCTAATAAACTAATATTATAGCAATAGTCTTAGGCACTGTAAAATTAGAAAAAATATTCGTTTATTTTGAACACCCTGTAGCATCTAATTAAAAAATAGGATGTTCTATTTAAAAAAATGTTTTATTCGTTGAAGCTATTTTTAGCCACCCTGTATATTGTATTTATCATTTTCTCATAACTTTTGAAACCAATAAGGTGGTGACCTTTATTGTTGGTTCACGCTGTACAAGCAAAACAAAATATCTAGTAGTTTGACAGGAAAAAATAAATGAATCTCACTTAGACACATAAGGATAACTAATGATAGTTTAGAAAAAGTATTGTATTCTTCCTGCCACTATCTCTAATGAGTTTCAAGCCTTTCAAGATAAAATAAAGAAAATCCTGTTTAATTTTGACATAATGAACAATATTACCTGTTATTGGGACTTCAGGGTCTTATAATCAATTAAAACTTGAAACCCAAATCCAAAAAAATATTTATAAATACCCTTAGAAACGAACAGTCATTCTCATTCTCATTATTTACACTTTAGAGCCACAAAATCTGTAATGAAGCGGACAAGTCATTTTTTTCAAAATGAGATAGACCTTAAAAGGGGGTAATTTCATTGTATACAAAATGTATACAAACAAAAACGGAAATCTTAACCAACATTGGAATTAGAACAAAAGAATACGAAAAAGGTACACAACTGCAAAGAACATTGTTTTCACGGGCATTTTACAAAGACGTACTTACCGTGTGCATCGGGAGGAGTGCAGTCCCTCTGGAGACACCAAAATTATTACATATCACATTGCTGCTATTTAAAACCCTTCGGATCAGATCGTCGAAACTACGTAAACGCGCGAAAAGCTGGCCGCGGAGTCGCAAACGTCACTAGCGTTGCCAACCCTTAAATACAAAAGTTCGTAAACCGTTTGGTTTTGACGGCAACGTGGCCGACGCTGACGTCATTTTCCAGTGCGAGCTAAAAGTAGCACCATTAGGTTATCAAAACGATTGCGACATCGGTGGGATATGGAAAGTTGGAATGATAAATAACAACGTTTTCAGTTCAATTACGCTTTTTTATTTTTAAGGTTTGTACAGCTCATTAAATAAATAACTTATGTAATAACTAAGCCAAACTAGAGTTCGGAATTTAAATTATTATTTAAATTACAGGTACAACACAACCTCAATCGCTGACGTCAGATTTTTAACAACACTTGCCGTCTCTTTTCGTTCATTTCGAATTTAACATGGGCTGAAAAACTTTCTTCAGCAGCTGCCCGACGAACTTCCTCAGAGTTTCTTCGCGTTTTCGACCCGCGTCGATGACTTCCTCGTGGTTCGGCTCGTTGTGTTTCTCGTAATCAGTCACGCACTCGTTCGTGATTAAACTGAACACAAAAACTGTCATGTCGCAGTGATTCGCCGTGATCACTTCGTGCACCGTCGACATCCCCACTGCGTCGGCACCTGAAAATCAACATCGCCCACTTCGATTGTTTTCGATGTAAATTATGTAGCGCCTCTAGTGCCAGTCATCAGCACGAGAGATATTTTGATGTTATTTTTTGATAAATTCAAGTTTGCGTAACTTCATTTCTATCTACATTAATAATTTAGGTTTTACATAATGAAATAATCACTTATTAGTCAGCTAAATAACAATGACGCACTTGGCAAAAGAAACATATCCTAATTTGCTTTTTTTTAGATTATTATTTTCGATTTCGCTTTTAACCGTTGCGCGAAAGAAATATATATCTTGCGCCCTTTTGAAGTAAATTCAATTCAGCCATATACCGCACAAGAAGCACTAAGTAACATTCGGAATACCGATAACCAGACAATAGGTCTTTAACAAGTTCCTGAAGCTCATAATCATACCGAAATAGCTGCAGTAGCCTAAGTATCGAAGCCAAGTGCCGAAGATCCTGTTGAATGGGCTTCCGATGCAGGTCATGAGAATTCACTTCCTGATACTCACAGTCAGGCGCATATAATCGCAGCACAAAATAACTGTGTTGAAGACCATGATGTCCAAGCATCCCATATAGGATCCTGTTAATGCAGTTTCCCTCTCAGAGATTGTTGAATATCAAAACGCAATATTAGGAGAAAAAATCTATTATTCTTACGAGCACACCTATAAAAGATCAGTTTGAGGAAAAGGAAAACACAAAAAGAGCTGAAGCAGAAGAAGTTAAGAAAAAAAACTGGAAAAATGCCAAAAAATGTGAAATGTGAGAAGGAACCTTCAAACAAAGAAATTAAAAGAGTGTTAGAGAATTTCAACAATATTGAAGACTAGTCAAAATACGAAAGAAAGAGAGAATGAAAAGACGAAAAGGAAAATGAAGGCTATTTTTGTATTTTTCGTAGTGATAAATACATAGATCCCCCGTTGAACAATGGATTATGTGCTACGTGTGCAAAAAATGGACACTCAAGAATTGTACTGACGGACAGTCAACAACAGGCTTTAAATGTTAATAATAATAGTTCGTATTTACCTATCTTTTATTATATTTAAATTTATTTAAAAAATATAAATGTTGATTAGTGAATTCGTTAATAATTAAAAAATAAAGAAACTCTGTGATTAAATGCCACTGTTTTATTTAAGTTTTCCCTTAGGCGTTCGTATTTCCTCCGCTTTCCCTTACGGTCCTGTTAAGCATAGAATCGTTTAGGTCGGCAACAGGTTTAAGGAAAATCACAGACCGGCAAAATATTTTTTACGATATCTGATTTATAGTTCCCATATTTACCTAGCGCTTTCAGCGCCCTGAGTTCGGCAACGGTTTCGAAATTCGGACCGCCCAAGCAGGTGTAGACGCCTTCGTGGATGTAATCTCCTAACCCTGCCTCGACCGCCACCTTTTTAGCCGAATTAATGATCTCTCTGTTGTAAGCCTTATTCATCGGCGGGAATCTGGGACCGAACCTTTCGTCGTTCGGCCCCTGCAGCGGATTATTGCCCGCAAATCCCATGAGATTTATGTGGTCCTTGACGAACATTATGTCTCCCACTCTGAACTTGGGGTTGAGACCGCCGGCGGCATTCGTTATGATTAGGTGCGACACTCCTGAGACCGAGAAAAATTGTTTTCAAAAATTTTCTATTCCGAATTTTTAAATCGAATTTTAAGGTTAGGGTTACCGCTACGTAACTCTTCACTAACCAATCGCTTAACTCTCATGAGTAACAAATGAAATAAAAAAAGGTACTTGCCCAGCAGCTTCATCAATCGTATGGGCATGCAGCATTTCCACAGAGGATACCCCTCGTAGTAGTGGAACCTGCCTTTCATGCATACCGTCGCTATCCCTTCCAGATGACCGAACACGAAAGATCCGGCGTGACCTTTGACCGTGCTCCGTGGAAAATTCGGTATCGACGCGTACGAGATCTCTGTCGGGTGCTCGAATCCGTCCGCCAGTGAACCTGCAAAAAATGGCGGACGAAACTACCATTAATGTTGTCCTCTTGAACATTAACGGCTCACAATGGCCACGTTGCCTATACCTATCAGATCCGTACCTAATCCGGAACCGCATATGATTCCGACTTGAGGGGAAAATGGTATCCTCGCGTTTATGTACTGGGCTGTCTCTTGGAGCGTTTCGTACGTGTACCTGAAAATTTTATTCATTCAAGTTAAATCATAAGGGAGACCCCAGAAATTTAAACTTTCAGAAGGTCGCATAGTTTTGGTAGTGTGAAAATAGGGTAGGTTCGGCTCTGTCCAAAATCCCTTTGTAACACAAAACTAACCAAAACCACAGCTGTTTTGACACTACGCTTGTGTCATATAAAATATGCGCAGTGATCTTGAATATGCAGATGTTGTGGGTACCATTCCCAGCTTGGCCTGCCGTCTAATTAAAAAACCAACACGAGCTCTTCGTCAGTGAACAAAAATCTGGGATATACTTCTTCTTAGTGTGCTGTGTCCCGTGGAAATACTTGTGAAGATGAATCCAACTTATTCATTTGACTGCATTTTAATAAATAAAGTTGCGCACTTGAATTTATGAGTGCCGTTAGCAAATTGTCTATATTTTATTGTGCTGAACAATGTTTAGATGGGACTGTTTTAAAGGACAATATAATTTGTTCTATCGATGTTAATTACTATACAAGATCCCGGTTTAGATATAAACGATCAATGTAACCTCTTTGCTGTAAACATGCGGTTAAGTGTTGCTGGCTGCAAGTGTCACTTCAAAGAATAATTTCGCTCAAACACAAAGCATCAGGTGCGTTATATTTGAATTTGTTTGTTCGAAGAATAGCAATTATCGATACCATAAAAGATATTGTGTGCGCTGCTTTTTAGTTAAAATAAGTGTACCTAGCACACCAATTTTACCGTAAATTATAACCATTGTTTATCAATATTTTGGTGATTACAAGCTGCGCAAACATGTAACTTAGATATGTTTAATCGAAGTTGCATTTTTTTATGTAACCATTAACGTACCCAAGGGCCTTGAAATTGTTTGAAAAAAAAAACAAAAATTACAATATACAAAAAATAGTCCGATTTTTTTTATAGTGGAAACAGGACGTTTACTAACGATGATTAACTAAAAAATAGTGCGCAATTAATTTTGATTCTTGAATATAAACATTTTCAAACTGATCAGCATCGATTTAATGCGAGTTGAATATGTGACGACCTATGCTATGCAGTTAACGGTATAATTTGAATCAAACTATACCAGTATCGCTTGTTTTATCCGATCGGATTTGGTTACCCGTTATACGCGTAATATTTTTTTTTATCCTTTCTAACAGGTTTTCAGAGATACATGACAAATGAGTAGACCCCTTATTTAGTTCTGATTGGGAATTTATCAACAACTTAACGCTTAAATTAAAATCCATTTTTAAAAAGCTACATTTTTTAAGAATGCAAAATATGTATAACAATTAAAAATTATTCTAAATGTTAGCAAGTATTGGTGAAAATAAAAGTTTACTTAGACTGGACACTTATCGTGGGAAATGCAAGAAGCACGGAATAAATCCCTTCTGATGCTCTAGTTAACAGTTATAGACGAGCTGATGAACGGAAAAAATATATTTGTCAATTAATATCTAAGTCAAATAGCCATGTGATTTGGTTTTTAAATTTAACTCTGTTACGCCCTGTATAGATAAAAAAATAGATATTAATAAATGATTTCGAAATCCCCTAAGCATTTAAATTAATCAAGCTGCAACCACTTAAAGTCGCTATTATATAAAAAATAACTTTTGGCCGCCCTGTTTTTCATAATTCGGATAATAAACACTCCACTCTAAATTGCACTGACGTAATTTAAATACTTTAATTTCCACATTTACTTTTTTCATGCCATACCTGGCAACTCGTACAGCATTAAAGTGATTTTAATAAATAACCCTAATACCACTTCACGCAACCCAAGACGCAAAAAGTGGATGCAATGCCAATTAATAACAGTTTATACTAACTTAAATTTAAAGTACCGAAAGCAATGGAATTTGGAACGCCTAATGGATATTTTGGATTCACCGTCACAGCGGAAAGAAAAGGCAAAATTTTGATCTGGCTAGAAAGGAACAGTTTTCTAGGACTTCCAAGTCCAGCTCCAAACTTTTTTATTCGAACATATATTTTTATTCACTTTAATTATTGATTTTCAACAAAGCAAAATATTGTTGTTGTTGTTTTTGATTTTATATTTTATTTTACAAACGCTTACGATATGTTGTGTGTAAGACCTAAGGCTTTATTCATAATGTAAATAAATAAATAAAATAAATAGAAATAAATAAAATCTGTATTTGATATTACTAAATTAATTAATAATTAATTAAATAAAAATAATTAATTTTTTACATCGGTTATATTAATATACAAAGTGCGATTTGTATATACAAATATAAATGAATAATGATTTTGATTGTGCAAAATTTATTTATAATCATAGGTTTGTAATGCTTTTATAATGTTTTATTTACTTTATAATACCTTAAAATTACAAACATTAAAAATTCAAAATATTTAAAAGATATAACAACCAATAATTAATACGTTGTGAGACTGGAAATAATAAAGGCTATATATAGCTCCCTTAATATTACTTACTAGTTGACTTTTAGTTCCCTAGTTTCAGTTTTAGATATAACCTAAAGTAACCAAAATCTTTGCTTTATTTTTTTTAGCTTTTTCTTCTTATGAAAATTGAGCTACACACTACAAATATTTGACAAAATTTTCTGTGAGAAGACACTAACTTATTGGACTAAAATGACGGTGTCTTTTGCTTTGGCATCAAGAATAGAGCACTTTGAGCTTTGAGCATAGCGTAGTTTTTTTTCCTGGTAGCCATGTTGTGTTACTGTAGTTACCTGTGTTTGTGGTTTTCGGAAAATACGTCACTGTGAATATCCACGTGTATGCCGTCGCCGTCCACGTGAATTTCGTTGTGTGTTCCGTTGTGATGGTTCTCGTGATTGTGAGCTTTCGACTTAGGCATTGTCGCTGCGGGATAGGTAATGCGAACGGAACGTCGATATAACCCAATTCGGTAAGCGAAACGTCTACTAAACCTACTTTTACATTTTCCGCCTCTTATATAGACGCGTCTCTATCACTGGGTGCCGTTCCAGCAAAAATATAATAACCGATAACGGCCGGCATTGTTGTTGAATACCGATCGGGACTTTGCTGTTGCGCAAACTTCTATTTGCTTCTGAAATCTGTATTAACCAATTTTTGGCGACTTACTCAATCGCGTGATAATCTGCGTGAGAATTTAAAAATCGCCGCCGTGAGAATTAAATAATAAGGGGTGTAATAATAAGTGTTAATGCAATAATTAGATATATTACTCTTTATGTAAATTATGCTATTTAATATGAAGAGAGAGGAAAACGTTAAAATATTTAATTTTGGGAACAGGGTTCTACAAGAGTGACCACGAGATTTCCCCAGCTCTGGAAGAGTTTCCCCAGCATATAATAGCATAAGATAAACAAGATTGAACATATCCGAAATAATACAATTCACAGCCATTTTGATTAATACGCAGTCAATTTGGCCTATCCAGGAACAATTACTGTCTATGAACAAACCCAAATACTCGACAACGTTAGTCTGAATAATCAATTCATCCTCCATTCTAACCAATAAGCTCTTGTTCAAATCCCTAAGCGAAAACCACATCATCTCAGTCTTGGTGTCGTTCAAATAAATATCGTTACGCTCACAATATCGGGTCATACCACTTACTGCCCTAGTGGCCAAAAACGTGAGATCTTCCAGACTCATATAAGAGTGCATATAAGGAAACATATTTGTCTGGGAAAGAATCAGATATATCGTTAATAAATATTATAAATAATAAAGGACCCAGTATGCTTCCCTGTGGGACACCGCTAGTGAGTTCTTTAGATCAGGATCTAATCACAGAAATATCACTTCTAAGCACAACTCTTTGGTCACGACCCTTCAAAAACGACTCAATCCAGGCGTAACTATTCGCCCGTATACCGTATATACTTATTCAACTTCAAATTAATATCAAGCACATCAAAAGCTCTCTTGAAGTCAAAGAACTTACATAATATTTTATTATTCTGATCCAGCTTCTAGACTATTTGATTATATAAGGAAACTAAACGGTCTTGAACAGATAATCCATTTCGAAAACCAAACTGAGAATTCGAGAAAAATTGCTCCTTCTTTAGAAATGCATCGAGCCACACTTTTCGAATATTTTTGAAAAAACCGATAGAAGATCGGTATTGTTCTTCTTGTGTATAGGCACAACAATGGAGCGTTTTAAGGCTGAGGGAAATACACCTTCTAAAATAGACAGATTAATTAACAAAGTGAGAGGTTCAACTATAAAATCTGTAACACAGGGTATTTCATCGTACCCAGCTGCATCTTTTTTTGTAACTGACGAAATAATGCATCTAAGGTCGAATAAAAGTTTGAATTGATGCCGCAACCTTCCTACTCTGCAGACTTAGTTCCCAGCGACGATTACAAGGTTTCCTAACCTCAAAAAATGGCTTAAAAGGTTTCTGAGCGTCGAAGAAGTTATCGACGTTGTAAATCAGTATTTTGAGGAGCTTGACGAACCTACATTTAAAACAAATTAGAACCCGCTATGAGAAATGTATCAGTGTTGATGACCCTCGTATTGTTTGAGGGGGAGGCGGAGCTAAAGGAGGTGCACGAGCATTGTCCTAGATGACTGATTCCCATATTCGTGGTCGCTTCTAGATTTCTATAGATTCTCGGATTTTTCGCTGGTAGAAGAATAATTATGTGCAAGAATTGTAGTTTTATCGAATAAAATTTGATGTTCGGTTTCGTGGTTGTGTGCTGCTGGTAGATTTTGTTTTTGCAAACGTGTCTGATCGGTTGGATCACAGAATTCTGATCCACAGGGTTCGTACTTTTGGATTTTCTGTCCCGCTTGATGGGACCACTGTTATTCAATATTTTAATTAATGAGATGGGTTAAGATTTTGATGTCCAGTGTTTAGAAGATTGTCTCACTCTCCAGCGCAGTTTTTTGAAAATCAAAAATTGTTTTTTAAATAATGTCAGTGTCTTTTACTGTCTTTCACCTTTTCAATCGTTTTTATAATAAAAGGTTTTAGCATATCTCGTTCTCCTTTATTTGTAAAGTCTACATTTAACGACACAGTCATGCACTAGATATTAATTTGCCACTATTTACAAACCGCTCCTGATTATTTTCATATAAATACTTGTTAGCAATAACCAGAAAAAAATTAATTAACTCCTAACTCATTTACTTTTACATTGGAAAACACAATTTCTTCGTATAAAAATCGCAGTATCTTCTCGCTGTAAACAAGATAAAGGCTCCCCTGGGACATGTGACGCAATACAAGAATGGCAAGAAAAAGCCATCTTGATAACGGATATATGTATACATCAAGTGATTATTTATTAGCCGTTACAAAATTATTTATTAACACCACAGAGCGTACTTTCGTAACGATGAAACCAAAACCAAATTCACGTTTGACTGTATTAAAATTTAAAAAATATATCAATTTCGAACTTTACGCATTTGAATTATTGGCTCGAAGGCCTTGTAAGCGTGTAATTAAAATGTGTTTTTTATCTAAGCCAAAGAACAAGAGGGTAACTTTGGAACTAAGCAATTTTAGGTATATTATTTATATTCTGCTATAAACGTCCTTATTATGTCCTAGCTATACCTAAAATGCTTTTACACCCTTAAATCACTACCTTTGTGAACGTCATCGGAAATTCTGGTTAATTTTAATTACCTTTAACGCCTTTCCCCTAATACGTGGTCGTCTGATTTTCCTTATAGTTGTTTTTCCAGCTCTAAACTTTTTTGCAAAATATTGTCATCATAGATGACATTTCGGGTGGTTAGACGCTACGCCACTGTACTATTGGTCAACAGCGCACGCGATATAATGTTATTGCAAAAGCATCGACCGAGAAAACTGTCTTACAGAGGACATGGTATACGTACAACGAATTTGTTTTGATGCATACGCGCTTATTTGTTTCAACTACAACCAAGGATTTACTACACCACGTTTAGGTTTTAAGATCCCGTAAACAAGACAAGAACCTCCAACGTTGCCGCACCCTTTCCATATTTTTCCTTGCTCGCAAATAATGTTATAAATTTTTTGTCAACGGAGGGTGGTGGTGGTTATAATTTTCAAAAATATTTTGCGAACTGTTTTAGTTGTATTGATAAATCGGTTAATTTAGTTACTAGATATTGTTTTTATTATTATTATTACGTCATAAACAAAATAAAGCGTTACATGATGAAGAACCAAGGACACAAAATAAATAACAAAACATTCTGCTGAATGACATTTGTCAAAAGGCGGCGTCACGACTATCCATGGTCTGTGACCGTTACAGCGTCCAACTAGAAGTGGCCATAGAAGTGAAGAAGAATATGATTATATATGCATTTATGCAAAGGAGGATCGCTGTGAAGGGTGTTGCTTAAAAATACATAACAACATTACAAATAGTAAATTAAAATTTAAAAAACGTTTGCATGGACCGGTAGGAAACATTTTTAATCTCTATTTTATTTTAAGGCGGACAATGAAATCTGTTGAAATACAAATTTGTAAATTCTGTGACTTAAGCACCGTTTCCTTCGGGGAGATTGCGAAAAAAATCTAAAAATCATACACTTGACATTTCATAATCAAATTGAGATGGATTTTGTTTTAGCATTTTTAGAAAAGCATTTTCTTTGGCTACAAATTCCAGCTTTAATGATAGTAATGATAATAATAATAACAATGCTTTTATTTTTCTCATTTCGCAAATCTAACCACTGGGTTCAAATTCTAACAACATAGGATTACGCAGAAAACAAGATAACAAATAAAATTTTCAAAACAGAAAAGTATTTCCGTTATATTGCTATGAAGCACGGGGATAAAAAATGTTGGAAAAATGATGTAAAATAGGCTAAAAAGTAAGAGGAACGCAGCGGAAGATATAGTGTAGTATATTTTTTCGATTATTACATGGTCTTCAAATTATAGGAAAAAATCTCAAAGACCTAAAAAATTGTTCTTTTACAGAGTAAATTATTCGATGCAAATCAAAAATCGTAAAAAATATGGGATATTTGAAAAAAACCATATTGAAATCGTTATTTCGGGAGCTCAGTCAAGACGCTATGACGTCACTGATTATTGTGGCACACTGCACGATTTCAGAAAAAACTTATTTTCTCGAAAACCATTTACTATTTTCAAAAAATTCTTGGACCAGGAAACGTGGAAGATCCAGGGCTATAACCTCTACTTCGAACATTGTTTGAATCATATACATATGGGCAAAAAAATAAAATATCCTAAAAAATTTCGTTTTTGTGGGTAAATTATTGGCGATAAATGAAAAACCGTTAAAGATGTCGAGAGAGAGTTTCGGGTTTCGTCCATTACACAGGGCGCGAGATATTTGAAAAAATGTAATTCGACAACGCATATTGGTTGTGCAAATTTTAATATTTACTGATGTTTGCTGTGATTTTGAAGTTCGATGAGATGTGAAGGACACTTTATACAGGGAGCACGCAGAATTAAATTATATCGATTTTGCGAAAGTTCCATAGCGGTCCGCAGGAGCACGATAGAAAAACAATGCGTGTCTCTTTGACAAGAAACCGCGAATCTTTTTAAAATAAAAAGCTGCTTAGCGCTACCCGCTACGAACTTGCCCTGTCCAGCGACGATTTTTCGAAAGCAATCTTGTTAAATCAGCAGCGCTACACGCAAACACTGAATAAGATATACCTTCGAAAAAATCAAATTCACAAAATCAACGACACCCTAAACAAAAATAAGAAACCATAACCTATACATATGTCAAACACGGAAACGGCAAAACACGCTTTCAATCTCGGCACGTTAAAACGTAAACAGCGCTATCTGTCCGCCTTATCCGTCAACGGGATGGACCGTCCGCCAAACAGGAACCGCGTCGAGTTTCCTCCGCGGCGCCGTCAGGTGTCGCGACCGTCGGCCGTCAGCTGATCGTCGCTCTTCGGACGACCTGAGGGACGCACGTTGCCCGGGCAACGCGAGGGGTCCCCGACGCGCCGAATCATCGGCGGGCAGCGAGAAAGAGCCGGAGGATCCGCGATCGCCGTAATTCAGTGAAAGCAAAACACGCGTCGCCGCCGGCGTAGACGTACGCGCGCAAAAGTAGGAGGAGACGAGAGGCAACAATGTCGCTTGTTTTCGTCGGACGGCGCGAGAAAAAGCGACGCGACATTCGAAAGATGTGAATGATGAGTGCCGGCGCCGACAGCATGGTCGACGGATTAACCTCGCCCGGTTACTACGGCCGGAGCGGCATCCTAGAGACTCATGTCCGCGGCCAGTGGTTCAGAGTGTTCGTCACGCTCGACGACGATTTTCTATGCATCACGCTCGACGAGTCGTACGAGAACACGACGACCCTTAACGGCACGTTGAACAACAACATCGAGACTCCGGGCGGTCTGTGCGAAACTCCGGACGTGCCCGATTCCGTGGCGAACCACAAACGCGTGGTCCGAGTGATTAAATCAGAGAATAACGGTTTGGGGATTTCGATCAAAGGCGGTCGGGAAAACAAGATGCCGATCCTGATCAGTAAGATTTTTAAGGGGATGGCGGCCGATCAGACGGAACAGTTGTACGTTGGTGACGCGATACTGTCGGTTAACGGTGACGATCTAAGGGAGGCGACCCACGACGAGGCCGTCAAAGCGCTGAAGAAGGCGGGGAAAGTGGTCGAACTCGAAGGTAAGGCGCACACCTGTCCGTTTTCGTCAACGAAAGTGTCGCCGAGAGGGGGCGGGCTCAACAAGTCTCAATTTTGAGGTTAAGTAGAACGATATTTAGCGTTTCAAATTAAAGCACTCCTCGTTAAAAAGTTTTATTAATTTATAGTTATCATAATTATAAATTCTGGTTATTTGTACATTTTTGCCTATAATTTGAAGACCCTGTATATAGTCGAAAAAATGCCCGAAATAAATGTTATTGCACTGGATCTTCTGTGTCTGCCGGTTAAAGTATTTTGCCTATCGGATGGACGATTATGGAGGAAAACATGTTTTTCTGGAACATGAAATTACCAAAAAAAAAAAATTTCAAACGTTTAAATGTGGACACGGACATTTACTTCTCTGCTAAATTTGAAGTTGATATTTAGGACACTTAACTCATTTCTCATTTAGCACGGAATATCGGGAACACCCTGTACAATAGGTGAAAACCTTAAATACCAAAGTTTTTGCTGTCTATGCGAGCCATATCGCAATATAAAAGAAAGTGAGATCTGAATCATAGTCTTTCAGTTATAACCAATTTTTCAGTTTTTTTGAATTTGCGGCGCACCCTGTATACTTTATAGAGTCGTATCCTCTGCTTCTTCTGGTTCAAGAATTTTTTTGGTCTCGTAAATAGTTTTTGAAAAATGATGTTTTTGTAGACCGTTGCACACGCGATTTTTTATTTTTTTAGAATACTTCTCGACCCTCCAGCCCCCATTTTCAATGGGTTCCGTCACGGCGCAAAACTGTATATATATGCCAAATATGAAGTTGATTGCTTCAAATTTCGCACACTTCTCGTGTTTCATAGCAAAGTAAAAAAAAACAGTCGAAAATGCGAAAAAAAGATGGATACCGGCGTCGGATCAAGACCATTTCTTATAAGATTATGAGCCTCGTGGAGGGTTAAAAAGAGGCAAATTTTAATTTTGTAGCTCCAACTGTTCGAAAGTTATTCAGGAAAAACCAAAAGACGAGAACGGAGAACGGACAAACAGACATAAAAAAATTTTTTACCAGCGGCGATCCCATGGGGCCTACCGTTACCGAGATATACAATTTTTATACGAGCACAGATACTTTCGAAAGTAATAAGTTAATACGAAGATCACAAATATCGGAAGATAAGGAATTGACCTCCTATGCACAACTTTGAAACTGACAACAAAAATTATCGGAAGTCTCGGAAGAACAACAAGGTTTCAGACCTTCTAATGACGCGTGAAATAGAGGATGAAATAAGAGAACAAACTGCAAAAGTCAATAGAATAGCAGAACCGAAATAAAATTCCGTATATATAAATCTGTAGTTCAACTATTCATGACATATACCGCTGAAACATCTAAGAGCGAGAAATGCCTGGAAACAAATGAAATAAAAACATTAAGGAAAATAGCAGGGAAAACACATTAAGACCTGGACAAGAAATAGAAAGCAAGAGTGGAATCAATATATAGATAGAATGCCTGAATAACGGATAGTGGGGATAGCGGTCGGAGGAACGACAACTTGTGATAAAACTTACATTGACCTAAAACAGGCAAAAGTTCCTAATATAGGAGAAGAAGAATAAGAAGAAGAAATGCCTTTAAATACCTTAGAGTTCCTTACGCAAAATATATTAGTTCTTAAAGAATCCCAAGTGTAAGTGGTGTGCGATTAAATACCTCTACCGAGTGGAAGTTAGTTCCCTTCGTTGTTTATAGATCACTGTTTGTAGTAATGGATTATGCGTCATTTTATTTATTTTGCTATACAAACATTGTATTTGTCGATGTTGAAAATGAAGATAACTGGTTTAATAATTTTCAATCATATCAAAAATAGAGCACCAATGTGTCAATAACTTCGAAACGGTCAACAGGAAACTCTCGGAGTGTTTCCCAATTGAGGAACATAAATCATCTGCATAAATCTGCAGGCTTAAATGTGCAATCATTTATTTTCTGTATTTTTGTGCAAGTAATTTATTTTCTTAATAAATGAAATATCTATCTTTTCATTTCTGTATTTATTTAATTTCTTTATCGTAAACGCTAAGTCTAGTTTTGCGACTACTCGTACTTAACCGTATAGGTTATCTTTTTTTTTAACAACAAAGGTTTGCCAAGTAAAGATTGAAACTTTATTAATTATTCAATAATATTAGAAACCTACTAGCGCACTACAGATCACTGACGTCACTGCGCAATCTGTAAAGCGTTAGATATTTAATAAAATAAAATATAAATAAAATAAAAGAAAAGAAGGAGTAGAAGCTTCAATTTATATTAGAAAAGGTTGGTACATCCAAACCTGAGGATATACTAAGCTGGGTGCATATCAATGTGTGCAATCTAACAATTAGTACCGCCATCTTACAACTATAACCAGTTCATAGAGATTTTCGAGTTGTGTGATACGAAGTGTAACAAATTCATTGTTTCTAAATAATTCTTTTGTCAACAATATTATTGAACCTGATCCTGCTACTCGAGTAACCCTCAGGTCCAGAAAAAAAAGGAGAAAATATATATAACCAATAAGAAACACTGTGATATAAGACTTTAAAAAACACGGTAACAAATAATATTAAAAATTTAAAAAATCAATCTTTAGAAAAAAAGGCGTGACTGAAATAGTGTGAAAAATAAAAATAACGTAGCTAGTATACAATTTATAGTTGTGAGGAATAGGAAAATTGATACTGTATTACAAACTGGGTGTAACAAGCTTGAATTTGATGAAATTTGTTGTAATAATTCAATATTTTTGGACCCGTATAAGGAACAATAAATTGTGTATATATGAATATTACGCCCCTGGTTACCGTCAGGTAACAGTCCAAGATGTTCTCAATGTTAGAGATGATCTTGTAGTCATTTTAGCTAAACTAGACAGCGAGGTCCTAGGGAGTAGTGTATTTCGACGTGAATTAAAAATGAAAACAATAAGGTTGCAGAAAATGTATGGATAATGATAGTATTGTTGATACATTGATGCTTGCTTTTTTCCTTCACCCTTGTATGAATTGTATGCGTTGCTAAAACAATAGCAATGTGCCAGAAAAAACTTCGGAAAGATTCATTCGTATGCAAATGAACTGCATATAAATGAACTCATTATCGGTGTCAAGTTTAAGTTGACTAGTCACTTCAGTCGACTCGTTACCGTCGGCACATCTGTTCACGCTGAGAGTGTTAATAGGATATCGTTTAATAAATTATTTAGAATGAGTTTGATTTCCTGAAGTATCGAGTCCCATGGGCCGCAAGATAAGGTCAGATGTAAAGACATCTCGTTTTGTTCTATTTAATTGCATTACTTTTTTTATATTGAATTCGGCTAATTAATGTTTAAAAAAAAACTTAGTTCAGAATGATACAGAATTAAATCCCAAACCCAATAAAAGTGGAAATACAGGGTGTTCCATTCCATCCAGAAAAAAACAAACATTTTTTTCATGTTCATTTGTGACCACCCTGTATAATATACAGATAGATAGTTCAAAGCATACTTCCATGAATCCATAATAAAAATTCTTAATTTTAGTTTTGAAGTTTCAATATACAGGAAAATCTCTGGGTAATACGGCGAAGTATAGTGAAATACAGGAAAATATTTGGGTAATACAGGTAAATAAACGGTAATACTGTAGAATACATTGAAATACGACAACATTTTAATACGGGGAAATATAGCCAAATATTTGGGTAATACAAGTAAATACATGGAAATATCTAGGTAAAACATTGAAAGACGTGAAAATATTTAGGTACTACAGGAAAATATATGCAAATATCTAGGTAATACGGGATGATACATTGAGCTACGGGAAAATGTTTTTGTAATACGGGGAAATATACGGAAACATTTAGGTAATACAAGAAAATATCTGGAAATATCTAGGTATAGATTGAAATACAAGAAAATATTTTGGTAATATGACGAAATATAGGGAAATATTTGGTGAATACGGGGAAATATATAGAATTATACGGGAAAATAAATTGAAATACAGGGAAATATTTGGGTAATACGTCGAAATATAGGGAAATATTTGGATAATATGGGAAAATATATGGAAATATCTGGGTAATACGGAAAAATACATTGAAGTACAGGAAAATATTTGGGTAATACGATGAAATATAGGGAAATATTTGGGTAATATTTGGAAATATAGGGAAATATTTGGGTAATACGGGGAAATATATGGAATTATTTAGGCTATACAGGAAAATACAGTGAAATACAGGAAAATAAATGGATAATACGACGAAATATAGGGAAATATTTGGGTAATATAGGAAGATATGTCAAATATCTAAGTAATACGGGAAAATGCATTGAAATACAGGAAAATATTTGGGTAATACGGAAAAATATTTAGGTAATACGACGAAATATTTGGGTAATATAGGAAAATATATAGAAATATCTAGGTAATACTGGAAAATACATTGAAATACAGGGAAATATTTGGTTAATATGGCGAAATATGGGGAAATATTTGGGTTATACGGGAGAATATTTGGATGATACAGGATGATATCTAGGTAATACGGAAGAAAATATTTGGGTAATACAGGTAAATAAACGGTAATACTGTAGAATACATTGAAATACGACAATATTTTAATACGGGGAAATATAGCCAAATATTTGGGTAATACAAGTAAATACATGGAAATATCTAGGTAAAACATTGAAAGACGGGAAAATATTTAGGTAATACAGGAAAATATATGCAAATATCTAGGTAATACGGGATGATACATTGAACTACTGGAAAATGTTTTTTTAATACGGGGAAATATACGGAAACATTTAGGTAATACAAGAAAATATCTGGAAATATCTAGGTATAGATTGAAATACAAGAAAATATTTTGGTAATATGACGAAATATAGGGAAATATTTGGTGAATACGGGGAAATATATAGAATTATACGGGAAAACAAATTGAAATACAGGGAAATATTTG